TCCCCAGCTTTTGCTACTATAAACAACACTTAGAGGAACATCCTTTAGCTAAATCCTTAGACATATCTTTAATCACTGTTTTAGGAAAAAGCCCTAGAAGATGAATTGCTGGATCCAAAAGCACATTTGTATGGCCGTTGATATTTGTCACTTGTCAACTTGTCTTCCTTTTCATGCAACTCAGGAGTTGCACAAATGCCTATGGTTCCCCTTGCCCTTGTGTCATCTCCTTTTGGCCCCATTAAAATATGCACCAGAGGACCACCTGAGGTCGGGAGTTCGAGACCAGCCTGGCCAACATGGTGAAACCCCGTCTCTACTAAAAATACAAAAATTAGCCGGGCTTGGTGGCACGGACCTATAATCCTAGCTGCTCAGGAGGCTGAGACAGGAGAATCGCTTGAACCCAGGAGGTGGAGGTTGCAGTGAGCAGAGATCATGCCATAGTACTCCAGCCTGGGTGAGATGGCAAGACGCCATCTCAAAAATAAATAAATAAATAATTTAAAAAAACAAAAAAAAACAAAAAAAAACCATGCACCAGGGACTGAAACTGGGGTATGAACAGCACCCCAGACCCTGACCAAGCCATAAAACTGTTTGTAAAGAAGCCACCAGACAAGGCTTAGAGGTGCTGCCTAGGCAACCAGAAAACAGGGACCTCTGCCAAATCCACTCTCCCCTCCACAGGCCTCTCTCCAAGCTGTTCTCCTAGTCATTTTCATCACAATTTTGGCAGCTTCTTTCTACTTATCAGAAATTTAAGAGCAGAGAATTAAATTCAAGTCCCGCATTACTAAGCTTTGTTATTTTTGCAAAGTACACGTTGTACATTCAGTGGCACACTGCAAAGCATTATCATGAATTATTTAAATGAAACCATCCTTGTCACAATAAATGAGCAAAACACATTTTTTCACTTTTTTCTTACATGTTGTTATTTCTCTTCACGGATTTCTTACTTTGCAACATTAACTAAAATACGAAGAGCCCCGCAATGTCATTACTACAAACTACCCTACCTTAGTTCTGCTGATCATGTATTTTTTTTTAATGTGACAGAAGCATTTTTCTTTCTTCTTAAGATTCATTATACTCAAATGTGTCCTTGTAGCAGCATAGAATAGGAACAAATATGAAATATGTATAACCAAGGTTTACTTTTGGAAGTAATTCATATTCAATTCTCATTTGCTTTGCTGGGATGGAACAATAGATGCTGTGAGGTGGGAAGGTAGTAGACATGAAAATCTAAAGATACTGAGACCCTTCTTTGGAAAGGAGGCCAGAAACATTTCTGGTTTGCCTCATATTTTATTAATCTATTTTATAATTCCAAGTAAATGAGAATAAAACTTATCTCAAAGGCTAGAAAAATGATCCTAAAGTCTCAGGCAATGAGGACAGTAATTCATTAGAGATTAGCTGTTCTTGGCATTGCCACAGTCTTGTTCAGCTTGAATCTTAATCTCTAAGGAAATTACAGTTATTACCTGTGCTTTATTGGTGATACTGACAAGATCCTCAAGTGACACTTCTGTCTGTGGATACTACATGCTACCAGTACAGGCCCGACTCCATTCTTTGCCCCTGTTTACACACACACACACACACACACACACGCACTCTCTCTCTCTTTCCTTACAACGGCATGCAAACAGGTTCATTTTATGCCACTCTGTTTTGTCTCAGGATGTGACAAGGCTACATGGACAGGGATTAAAAAAACAGCAGTGACTTAAGGCCAGGGGAGGAGGAACACGGAAAATAAATCAGCAATCATTAAAACTTGGAACTGAAGCAAACTTTTAAAAAAATATTTTGGCCACTTAAAAAAAATTTTCATTTTGCAATAATTTTTAACTCACAGAAAAGTTGCAAGAATAGTACAGATAATGTCTTTATCCCTTTTACCTGGGACTTCCTCATTTAGTTAACATTTTAATAGTTATGGCTGGGCACAGTGGCTCACGCCTATAATCCCAGCACTTTGGGAGGCCAAGGCAGGTGGATCACTTGAGCTAAAGAGTTCAAGACCAGCCTGGGCAACATAATGGAACCACATCTCCACTAAAAATAAAAAAAAAATTAGCCAGGTGTGTGGTGCATGCCTGGAGTGCCAGCAATTTGGGAGGCTGGGGTGGGAGGACTGCTTGAGGCTGGGAAGCAGAAGTTGCAGTGAGCTGAGATCGTGCCATTGCCCTCCAGCCTGGGTGACAGAGCCAGGCCCTGTCTCAAAAAAAAAAAAAAAAAAAAAAAAAAGTTAACAGTTTAATAGCTAACATTTTACCATTTTTGCCTTATTACTTAGAATCACTTGAGAGTAAATTACAAACATGATGCCCATTACCTTAAGGTTGTCAATGTGTTTCCTAAAACACAAGGTGTACACACTGCTGAAAAATCAAAGTACATCCAGCATTACCAGGAAATCAGCACTGATAAAACATCCACCCCGCAGACTCCATTCCCATATTCCTGATTGCTCCAGCAATGTCCTTTATAATCACACTTTTCCTTTTGGTCCAGAATCCAGCCCAGGGTTATCAACTGTATTTAGTTTCCATGTCTCTAGATCCGCCTTCAATGTGGAGCAAAAATGCTCAGGTTTTCCTTGTCTCTTATGACTTGATACTTTTGAAGAGTACAGGCCTGCTGCTTTGTCAAATGACCCTCGATTTCTGGTTGGGTGATGGTTCCTCAAGATGACGTTCAGTTTATACCTTCTTGGCAGGAACAGCGTGGAAATGATGCTGTGTTCTCTGTGGATCGCATCGGGGGGCACAGCATGTCAATTTGTCCCACAGCTGGTGATTATATCCCTTGGTTAAGATAGTTAATTATTAAGTATTTTGTACTTAATTTATATTTAATACATAATTTAAAAGTATTTGATTAATTTTAAAGTAATCAAAAACTATTTTAATCTATGTAAATATCCTGTTTCTTATCAAGCTTTACCCACTAGTTTTGGCATTCATTAATCATTCTTTTTTTTTTTTTTTGAGATGGAGTTTTGCTTTTGTCACCCAGGCTGGAGTGCAGTAGCGCGATCTCTGCAACCTCTACCTCCCGTGTTCAAGCAAATCTCCTGCCTCAGCCTCCCGAGTAGCTGGGCTTACAAGCGCACACCACCATGCCTGGCTAACTTTCATATTTTTAGTAGAGACAGGGTTTCACCACATTGGCCAGGCTGGTCTCAAACTCCTAACCTCAGGTGATCCACCCGCCTCGGTCTCCCAAAGTGCTGGGATTACAGGCATGAGTCACTCATTAATGATTCCTATTTGAAGCAATTATTACTATGATGGCCTCCAAGCGGTGATTTCCTAATTTCTTAATTCCTTCTGCATATATTAATTGGTGTTCTGTTATGAGGTAGTTTTCCTTCTCCTCTATTTATTCATTCATTCATGGGTATATTTATATCAGTATGGACTCAGGAATGCCTATTTTATTCAATAGGCTATATTACATTAATTATTTGCTTTGAAACTCAAATTATTCCATATTTTGCCGGTGGGAGTGACTTTATTAATAAATTGTCTTCTGTATTCTTTTGGTTAAGTACTTCCTTATTTTCTGGTGTCAAGATATTCCAGACCTATCTTATACTTTCCTTGTCCCTACCCTGGTATCAGCCATTTCTCCAGTAAATTCTGGTTTATTTTATTAGGAAATGGAATTGAGAAACCAATATCTGAGTTTATGGTGTGTTCATTGCTTTTGGGATGTCATTGCTTTTAGGTGCTCTAAGATGAAATATATGTACACACATGTACATATACAGCCATCTCTCTCTATTTGTGTATCATTCATTTATAAACATATTTTAAAACATGAGATTTTACAGTGATATCTCCAATTTCTTTCCAACTCCATATAGATTAGTCTAGCTTTCCTCCTTTACATATTTGTAGATCCTTTTTCCAAAAGTGAGAAACCTAGCTCCCATAATCTTCAAATCTTTCCCAACCCCCTGTAAACAACCGATCTTCCAGCCATTCAGAAGCCATTGTCTCCTTCTCCCCTTCTGCACATGGCTATTGCCCCACTGAATCTCTCCGCACTCTTCCCGTGGCCACGCCAGGCTGAGCAAACCCTCTCACTGACCCGTAATAGCACATTATTCTTTTCTATACCTGCTACCCATTCAGGACAAATGATTGGCATTTCAGAATATGGCCAGCTTTGTGTCAAAAGAAGGATTAAATACATCATGTAATAGTGTCAGCTCCAGTGGGGAAGAGAATTTGGTCTTGTAATAGAGGCAGCCACTCAAAAGGAAAAAGAAATTTCTTCTAGAAGCACTGGTCTAAAAAACCAAAAAAGTCCACACACAAGAAAATCTCAGTGAATATATCTTTGCTTTGAATTTCAACTCCATTAAAAATCTTGGGTTCAGTTTTAAATTGATAGTGAAAAGGTTTTATAGTCTTTTTCTCTTGAAAATCACACCAAACTAGGTTTACTCGAAGACTGTTTTCTTCCTGTAAATTTTAGATATTCTTGTTAATTGTCTTCCTTTTTAGAATGGATAATTCAAAGCGAATACTTTTTTTTTTTTTTTTGAGACAGAGTCTCACTCTGTTGCCCAGGCTGGAGTGCAGTAGCATGATCTCGGCTCACTGCAACCTCAGCCTCCTGGGTTCAAGTGATTCTCCTGCCTCAGCCTCCCGAGTAGCTGGTATTACAGGCACGTACCACCATACTCAGCTAATTGTTCATATTTTTAGTAGAGACAGAGTTGTGCTGTGTTGGCCATGCTGGTCTTGAACCCCTAACCTCAAGTGATCCGCTCACCTTGGCCTCCCAAAGTGCTGGGATTACAGGCTTGAGCCACCACACCCGGCCTGAATATTTTTTAAATCTAGATTTATGTTTTGTTAGGATTTTTTATAGGTAGAACACTGGAGGAAGATCAATGACCAATATTTATGCTGACTTTTTAGTCAATTTTAGACATTAGTGTTCTAAACTAAATTTCTCTTTCTTTTTAGGTTTGTCCAAGACTGGTTTTCAGAAAGGATGCAAGTGGCCAAAGTGGATTTCTCTACAGTGTTACCACGCTTCATTTCTCTATATATCTTTTCCTTTCTGAGTGCGAAAGATTTGTGTGCAGCTGCCCAAGTCAGCTGGCCCTGGAAGTTTTTAACTGAACAGGTTTACTATTTGTCACTTCCTAGTAATAGGGCACAAGTACAGCTGTAATCTTAAATGAGGCTACTAGGGTAGCTCCCTTCCCTGAAGACAATAGCTGAGGGTACCTGATCTATCCCTTACCCTTGAGAGAAAAAATAGGGATAAGTGAAATACAATAATGTATTTCTATAAATAAATAAGGCATATAGACTAGTCCAATAATCCCTGTTACTTAAAAAAATCTTTAAATACTCAGTATAATTATTTAGGAAACATTTTATCTTGGTTAAAGAAGTTCACTTTGAGACGGAGTCTCGCTTTGTCACCCAGGCTGGAGTGCAGTGGCGCGATCTCGGCTCACTACAACCTCCACCTCCTGGGTTCTAGTGATTTTCCTGCCTCAGCCTTCTGAGTAACTGGGATTACAGGCGCCTGCCACCACACCCGGCTAATTTTTGTATTTTTAGTAGGGACGGGGTTTCACCATGTTGGTCAGGCTGGTCTCAAACTCCTGACCTTGGGTTCCACTTGCCTCGGCCTCCCAAAGTACTGGGATTACAAGCATGAGCCACCGCGCCCTGCCAAGAAGTTCACTTTTCTTCATGAAAAATGATTTATGCTTTAGATTTTGTATATTATCTCCAATAACTCAGCTCTAGAAACTGCTACACAACCACAGCCTCAACTGATCCCTTATTGTCTAACATCTGTTAAAGAACATACATTGAGATCTTAACAGCAGTTAAAAGCAGCAGCTGTTTAAAATTAACATCTTTTGCCATTAATTCTGCCTCTGGGCTGTCCCTTTTCTTGTAAAATATTTAATAAAATGTAACAATACACATACTTTTTTTTTTTCAGAGACAGGATCTCATTCTATCGCCCAGGCTGGAATGCAGTGGTGCCATCTGGCTCACTGCAACTTCTGCCTCCCAGGCTCAAGTGGTCCTCCCATCTCAGCCTCTCGAGTACCTGGGACTATAGACGTGCACCACCACGCCCAGCGAATTTTTGTAGTTTTAGTAGAGATGAGGTTTCGCCATGTTGGCCAGGCTGGTCTGGAACTCCTAGGCTCAAGAGATCCACCCACCTCAGCCTCCCAAAGTGCTGAGATTACAGGCGTGAGCCACTGTGCCTGGCTTAGTCTGTTTATATTTCTGTAAACACTTACATATTTCTGTTTAATCCATCATTTTACTATTTTTTGTTTGTCGCATTTAGTTTTTTCCCTCTCCCTGTCTTCCTTTGCGTTAATTAAAATTTTTTTTTCAGGCCGGGCGCAGTGGCTCACGCCTGTAATCCCAGCACTTTGGGAGGCCGAGGCGGGCAGATCACGAGGTCAGGAGATCAAGACCATCCTGGCCAACACAGTGAAACCCCGTCTCTACTAAAAATCCAAAAAAAAAAAAAAAAAAAAAAAAAAATTAGCCAGGTGTCACTGGCCAGTGTGGTGGGGACCTGTAGTCCCAGCTGCAAAAAAAAAAAAAAAAAAAAAAAAATTAGCCAGGTGTGGTGGCGGGGACCTGTAGTCCCAGCTACTTGGGAGGCTGAGGCAGGAGAACGGCGTGAACCCTGAGGCGGAGCTTGCAGTGAGCAGCGATCGGGCCACTGCACTCCAGCTTGGGCGACAGAGCAAGACTCTGTCTCAAAAAAAAAAAAAAATTTGTTTTTTCAATTGTTAGATTCTTTAACGGTTATTTCATGGTTACCATAGAGATTATAACATATAACCTTGTATTAATATTATCTTACCATTTCTAAGACAATGCAAGGAGCTTAGAACCCTTTAACTTCATTTACCCTCCTCTCAGTTTCCATGCTTTTTTGTTAAAGATTTTTATTTTATATATACTAATAACTAATAGCCTACTGTTGACCAGAAGACTTACTGATAATGCTAACAGTCAATTAACACACGTTTTGTATGTGTATTATATACTGTATTCTTCAATATGGCAAGCAAGAGAAAAGAGATTGTTATTTAAACATTCATGAGAAAATATATTTACTATTTGTTAAGTGGAAATGGATCATCATAAAGATCTTCATCCTCATGTTGAGTAGGCTGAGGAAGGTGAAGAAGAAGAGGAAAAGGAGGAGGAAGGGGAAGGGTTGGTTTTGCTGCCTTGGGGGAGGCAGAGGTGGAAGAAAGCGCATATAAATGCACCCATGCAGTTCAAACCCGTTGTTCAAGGGTTAAGTGTGTAAAATAAACATATGTAACACATAAACACTTATCTCACAAATCTTTATTACTATTGTTTTATGTAGTCAATATTTATTTATATATGACCATATTTTTTCTGTAGCTCATTTTTTTCTGTTCCGCCATCTCCTAGTTTCCATTTGGGATCATTTTCCTTTTACATTCTATTTAATATTACCTCTAGTACAGGTGTGCTGCTGATAAATTCTCTTAGTTTTTGTGTGTCTGAAAATACCTATTTCATCATCATACTTAGAAGATATTTCAGTAAGAAATCTGAATTCTAGGTTGGCAGCTAACTTTTTTATAGAACTTTGGAATATTTCATTTTTTTTTCCTTGAGAAGTCAGGTTTTATTGTTGATCCTTTAAAGGTAACATTTCTGTCATCTCTAGCTGCTTTTCGGACTTTTTCTTTCATTTTCTTTTCATTTTCATTTTCTTTCATTTCAGTTATTGTGATATACTTAGGTGTGAGTGTTTATGTATCTTGTTTTGTGTTTGGCTGTGATTTTTGAGTCTGAAAGTTAATGTCTTTCATCAGGTTTGAAACATTCTCAGACGTTATTTCTTCATATTGATTCTGCCCCATTCTCTCCCTTTTTCTCCTAGTATTCCAATACTTATAGGTTGGATAGATTCACCATGTCTCGTAACTTTCATATTCTTTTATACATTTTTCCATTTCTGTGACCTTCAGTATTTCAGTCTGGATTTTCTTCAGACCCATCTTTCAGTTTACTAATTATTTCTTTAGCTAGATTCTAATCTGATCTTAAACCCATCCATTGAGTTGTAAATTTCAGTTATTATATATTTTCAGTTCTAGAATACTGATTTCTTTTGCCAAAATTTTCCACCTAGTCATTTATTTTAGATATATTAATTATAGAGTATTTATTTCCCCAAAGTTCATGTCTGATGATTACAGTATTTGGATTGCCTGAGGATCTCTCTATAGTTACTAAAAACCAAAAAGAAGACAGAATTCTTGTCTATTGTGTGTTCTAGTTAATTTTGATTGCATACCGCATACTGAGTATACAAAATTGATATAATCCTTTGAGTCTCTGGGTGATGTTATCTTCCTCCAGAGGGAATTTACTTTTGTTTCTGGCACATCTAGTGCTAGGAACAAATCATACAAATCCAGTCAAGGAATGAGATATTTCAAAGCTGGCTTCAGTCTTTGTGAGTTTGTCTAATTCAGTATTGTCCTTCCTGAAAAGAATCTTAACTGAAAGCTGGTGTGATTACCAAGGCTCTTCCTCTTAGTGGGCCCTAAATTTCCATTTGTGTCCTCTCTTCCCTGTGAGAATGCCTAAGATTCTTTTCTAGCATCTAAATCTTTTAGTCATAACTTTCTGTTCAGATTCTCAGCCTAACAAGCTTTACTTTGGAACTGACAAATGCCTTGAAGTAAAAAGTGATGCCAAATATCAGGCTTACCTCTCTGGGTTTCCCTTCTTTCTGGGGTCTCAGTTGAACAAGTCCTTATTGCATTGATAGCTCCATAATATAGCCTTCAAATAATTGTATAATATTTGGTCTAGATATTTCATTAGATCAAACCACATGAAATTTCCTTTTTCTTATGTCAAAATGGCTGCATATTGGCAATATCATATGCTTCAGTCAAAATTATTCTCAATGAGCGGGTTAATCCGAAAGAAACTATTCCACTATTGCTAGAAGCTGAATTCTCAGAATCTAGGGTTAATGTAACCAAATGCTATTGGAACACTAGATAAGTATCACAAAGAGGTCTAATACATACATTCACATATAATGTATATACTCATCAAATACTATTTTTCCTGTGGAACAAGTTATGCTTCTTATTTCCAAGGCAAGTTCAGATAGTAAGTCAATAGTAGCATTTAAAAACCTTATATCTGGCCAGGTGCAGTGGCTCACACCTGTAATCCCAGCACTTTGGGAGGCTGAAGCGGGTGGATCACCTGAAGTCAGGAGTTCCAGACCAGCCTGGCCAACAGGGCGAAACCCCGTCTCTAGCAAAAATACAAAAAAAACTAGCTGGGTATGGTGGCATGCACCTGTAATCCCAGCTACTCAGGAGGCTGAGGCAAGAGAATTGCTTGAACCCAGGAGGCAGAGGTTGTAGTGACCTGAGATTGCACCACTGCACTCCAGCCTGGGTGACAGAGCAGGACTCTGTCTCAAAAAAAAAAAAAAAAAAGAAAAAAAAAAAAAAAAAAAAAAAAAAAAAAGAAAGAAATAAAAATAAAAGGCCGGGCGCAGTGGCTCACACCTGTAATCCCAGCACTCTGGGAGGCCGAGGTGGGTGGATCACAAGGTCAAGAGATCAAGACCATACTGGCTAACACAGTGAAACTTTGTCTCTACTAAAAATGCAAAAAACTTAGCCGGGCGTGGTGGCGGGTGCCTGTAGTCCCAGCTACTCGGGAGGCTGAGGCAGGAGAATGGCATGAACCCGGGAGGCGGAGCTTGCAGTGAGCTGAGATCACGCCACTACACTCCAGTCTGGGTGACACAGCGAGACTCCGTCTCAAAATACATAAAATAAAATAAAATACTTTTAAAAACCTTATATTTTATATAAACATTGTAGAACAAATGTATTTGCATACAAATTCTCAGATTTTTATACCAGAAATCTCAGTGTAATGAAAAAGTATCTGTGTACCTGAAAATATTATTGCTAGAAAACTGTCTGAAAACAATTTGTGACTCATCTTCCTCTTGTTTCTGAAGGATTGCTTATGGATGCCCAAATGCGTTAAATTTGGGTGGTTTCTGCCCTATACTCCAACAGATAATGAGTATGGTGCTTGGAAGCGCCATTACGTTGCCTGTGTGTCCCACTTAGACTGGCTGACACCTAGGGAGGCTGCTGCTACTTATGGGACGCTGAATGAACCCAAAACAGAAGATGAGGAACTACTGGAGAGACAAAGAGAAAAGTGCTTGAGGAAAAGAATTTGGGAGGAAATTGCACTACGTAACAGTAAGTAGCATTTTAAACCTTTATATCTTACGTAAATATTGTAGAAACAAATGGTTCACATACAAATTCCCACAGAGGAGGACGGCCCTGTCTTTCGCAGTACTCTGAGTGGCAGTCTTTATTTTTCCAGATGAGCTTTTTTCTTTATTGTATATTTCAAGTTAATTGGTGAGAAAAACAAAGATTTCAGACAAAATATGTAAAGTTAAATATCAGTGTCTCCATTGCTGTTCTGGCTCCTTTCAGGCTTATAGGACCAAAAACAAAAAGCAGAAAGATGTTTGAACACAGATAAGAAGCAAATAAATAAGTTCAAAACAGAGGAACTGGGAGTGATGAAAAAAGGAGGAGAAATGAAAGTGAGAATGGAAGCAGGGAAAATGCCATTTAAAAAAGGAGAAAGAGGACATCTTTTTCCTCTCTTTTTAAAGCCTCTTTCAGTTACGCCCCCTATTTATTTAATTTATTTATTTATATATTTTTGAGACAGGGTCTCACTCTGTCACCCAGGCTGTGCAGTGGTGCGATCTCTGGCTCACTACAGCCTTAACTTCTGAGGCTCAAGTGATCCTCCCACCTCAGCCTCCCGAGTAGCTGGGACCACAGGTGCACACCACCATGCCCTGCTAATTTTTTCTATTTTTGTAGAGACGGGGTTTCTCCATGTTGGCCAGGCTGGTCCCGAATTCCTGGGCTCAAGTGACCCACCCACCCTCGCCTCCCAAGGTGCTGGGATTCCAGGCGTGAGCCACGGTGCCCAGCCTCAGCTAGGCCTTATGCTTTATGCAGTGTGTAAAAGAAAACAGCAAAACTGATTTGAGTTCTCCCATGCTTTCTTCCCACTAACTCACCCTCCGGTGAGATTGTGACAAATAAGAAATTGCTTGAAGGCAAGAAGAAGGGCACAAATGAATGTGACACATATCAATTGATTAACTGGTCTCCACAAGAAAAGGGTTGCTTGTTCTCTGAGCTGTGTTTCTTGACCTGAAATGACTGGTAACTCACAGCCACAGTGCCGAGAGGATGAGAAATCCAAACAGAGTACATGAAAATGGCTGTAATTATTGTCATTTGGAACCTTGCCCTGGTACAGCTTTATTTTTGATGCCTTTATCTGTGTGGACTTGGCTGGGAGAAGTATGAAGTAATCAGCCCCGCCTGCTGCTTTTTGTTTTTCAGAGGAGTTATTCAAAGTTAGACCCCCTTGGGTTAGTGGAACTTGCTGCTCTAGCGTGCTAAAGCCCAGACGCCAACCACGCCTCTCCCAGACTGTAAGGGAGCGAGTGGGTTCACGTGAAGCTTTGGAGAAACAGCTTGTTTTGACATCTTTAGAAATCTTGCCCAAGCGGTAAGCAAAATTCCATCTACTGACGGCTCAACACCATCCCAATACCAAACATTCACTCTAGAATAAATTTAGCTATCATGCAGAAATCTTGTGTAATTCTGTGGCTCATATCCTATGAAATATCAGTAAAGATAATTAATTTTCTAGAACAGTAGTCAAACATACCTTCTGAAGAGGTAAACATATAACATCCAAAACTTACATTTTAAATATTCTTTTTTTTTTTTTTTTGAGATGAAGTCTTGCCACACTGCCCAGGCTGGTGTCAAACTTGTGAGCTCAAGCGATCCTCCCACTATCCTCCCAAATAGCTGCGATTACAGGCATGTGCCACAGAGCCCAGCTTGACATTTTCTCAACTCTGCATTGAAGCTATATTGTGGATGTAGTATATTTTCTGTATAAAGTTATTGAGCAAAAGTAACATTTTTTCCACAAGTGTTTTCTATGAAGTAAGAGTATGAAATATAACTTCCACTTATATTTTTAGTGTAAATACAATTCTTTTATTATCCAAAATAGAGAAGCATCATCGCATTCAGTTACCAAATCATACTATACACTGAAATTACCAGAAATTCAATTCTATCTGACATTCATATCCATCACCATTGTGCATCTGCTGAGAATTTCTTTTTAAACTTTTTTTTTTTTTTTGAGATGAAGTCTCACTCTGTCACCTAGGCTAGAGTGCAGTGGCACGATCTCAGCTTATTGCAACCTCTGCCTCCTGGGTTCAAGCGATTCTTCTGCCTCAGGCTCCTGAGTAGCTGGGACTACAGGCATGCACTACCATGCCCGGCTAATTTTTGTATTTTTAGTACAGACAGGGTTTCACCATGTTGGCCAGGCTGGTCTCGAACTCCTGACCTCAGGTGATCCACCAGTCTCGGCCTCCAAAAGTGCTGGGATTACAGGTGTGAGCCACCATGCCCAGCCAACTTTGGATTCTTGAGATCGTATAATCTCACTTACCTATGTTTCAAATGAGGAAACTGAGGCCTAGGAAGGTGACATGACTTACCCACATGTCAAAGTGTCAAACACTAGAACCTAAAACTCTAAGATTCCAACACTTTTTCAACTTCACCCACTGACGCTACATATGGATCTCTGTGCATCTGAACATTTGTGAATGTGTGTGTGTACATTTACTTGTTCAAGGCACATAAAGAATTTTAAGAGGCCAGGCATGGTGGCTCATGCCTATAATCCCAGCACTTTGGGAGGCCAAGGTGCGAGGATACTTGAATTCAGGAGTTGGAGACCAGCCTAGGCAACGTAGCGAGACCCCATCTGCTGGGTGTGATGGCACACACCTGTGGTCCCACTTACTCGGGAGGCTGAGGTGGGAGGATTGCTTGAGCCTGGGAAGTTGAGGCTGCAGTGAACTGTAAGGACACAACTGCACTCCTGCCTGGGTGACAGAGCAGGACCCTGTCACTTAAAAAAAATAAAACAAACAAACAAAAATATATATATGGAATTTTAAGAAGCACAGGGAAGCCCGGGCTGCTGGTATTGTTGAAGGTGAGGGTGGCTGTGGAGAGAATGAAGATATTACTGAGAAACAACTGAGGCCTAGAAGGAAATTCACAATCTCTTAGCTACTTCTTTTTAAATATCTTTTTGAACTCCCAAATATGTCATTACATTCATTTACAAGCTAAGTAAGTTCTGAGAGACTGTTCCAGCATCCCACATGTGGTGGAGGAGAGGCTCAGAGAACAGATTTGGCCTCACCCCACCCAGGAGCTCCATTTGCTACTGTCCCCACAAAACACAGGGAGAGGCTAAGGCATGGAGGCCACGTGCCTTGTAGAATAGAGCTGATGCCCAGAGACATATGCTGCTTACTTACCAAAACTCAAGGTAAGAGAACATGAAAACTTCTTGTATTTCCTTTTTCTCCATAGAAGCAATATTTCTGGAAGCCATTCCTACCCTTTATTATCAAAGAAATATTGGCATGGAGTTCATAAAAATGATGACAGCTCTTCATATGCTCTCCGGCCACACTTCATATTAATATCATCCCGGATTCCTGCGTATGAGGTAGAGTATGTTATGAAGCCAGTCCTGTCCTGATAGTTTTGTGTTTTTTTTTCATCTAGACTAGAGGGTGTGTGACAATCTTTTGGCCACCATGTTTATGAAAAATGATTCAACTTCTAAAAGGAAAATCAAGCCAGGTGTGGTGGCACAGACCTGTAGTCCCAGCTACTCAGAGGCTGAGGTGGGAGGATCACTGGAACCCAGGAGGTGGAGGCTGCAGGGAACTGTGATCACACCACTGCACTCCAGCCTGGGCAACAAAGTGAGACTCTGTTTCTATAAAAAAATAAAAGGCCAGGTGCAGTGGCTTATACCTGTAATCCCAGCACTTTGGGAGGTCAAGGTAGGTGGATCACCTGAGGTCAGGAGTTCAAGACCAGCCTGGCCAACATGGCAAAACCCCATCTCTACTAAAAGTACAAAAAAAATAGCCGGGTGTGGTGGTGTGCACCTGTAGTCCCAGCTACTCAGGAGGGTGAGGCATGAGAATCGCTTGAACTCAGGAGGTGGAGGTTGTAGTGATCAGGATACTGCACTCCAGCCCGGGTGACAGAGTAAGTCTGTCTCAAAACAAACAAACAGAAAAAAACAGAAGCAATAAAGGTAATCATAAATCAAAATTATTTTGAAAAAGCATTAAAGGCCCAAACTTTTAACTGAGGCCTTTTAAGTGAGAGGTGACAACTTACTCAAGTGTCAAAGTTTCAAACACTAGAACCTAAATTCTGAATTCTAAATCCTAACATTCCAGCACTCTTTTAGCTTCACCCATTGATGCTACATGTAGATCTCTGTGTCTGAACATTTGTGAGTGTGTGTGTGTGTGTATTAGTCCATTCTCACTGCTATAAAGAAATACCCAAGACTGGGTAATTCATAAAGGAAAGAGGTTTAACTGACTCACAGTTTGACATGGCGAGGAGGCCTCAGAAAACTTACAGTCATGGCAGAAGGCTAAGGGAAAGCAAGGACCTTCTTCACATGCCAGCAGGAGAGAGAGCAATGAGCAGGGGAAATGCCACTTATGAAACCATCAGATCTCATGAAAACTCAGTGTCATGAGAACAGCATGCAGGAAACCGACCCCATGATCCAATCACCTCCCACCAGGTCCCTCCCTCGACACACGGGGATTATGGGGATTACAATTCAAGATGAGATTTGGGTGGGGACACAGAGCCAAACCATATCAGTGTGCATGTCCAATAAATTTCTGTTGAATTTAATTTGTTGCACTTAATCCAAAAAAGGAGCATGCTGATTAAGAATTACTTTGAAACTTCTCTGAAATTCCCAAATAGTATTATGTAACCACCATCTCACAAAAGAACAATGTCAGAAATCCTGTTTGGTTTCTCTATAATGAAGTTGTATATTTTAATTTTAATCTGAATAATATAAAAATAAAGGAAGCACAAAGACAATCTTTGTATCTATATATGTATTTGTATGTATATATGTATATGTGTGTGAATATGCACACATAGGGACATATACTTAGAAAAGTTTCTATTTGTAACAAAATGGCTCCTTTTAAGATACGAACTCACTTCTTCTGGGCATCTAGGAGTCAGCTCTAATCACTGATAACCGGTGAGCTCAGTGGATCCACACGAAAGCAAGATCAGAGCCTTGATCTCCATGTGGGCCATAGATAGTTTCCACAGTGTTTAATAATGCATCATGCTGGCCGGGCATGGTGGCTTACACCTATAATCCCAACACTTTGAGGCCAAGGCAAGAGGATTGCTGGGACTACAGGCACATGCCACCACACCTGCCTAATTTTTTATTTTTTGTAGAGACAGGGGTTTCACCATGTTGCCCAGGCTGGTCTCGAACTCCTGAGCTCAAGTTATCCAGCAGCCTCAGTCTCCCAGAGTGCTGGGGCTACAAGTGTGAGCCACTGTGCTTGGCCACTATTACTTTTTAAAAGTTATTTATATGTCTTTGTGCATGTTGTGCACAAAGATAAAAAGGCTGGAAGAAAATAATCTAAATTGTTAATAGTATTTATCTCTGAGTGGAGTTACATATGTACTTAATTTTCTCCTCTTATAATTAGAAATAAACTAATTTTAATAGAAACCAATGAAGGAGGAAGCTTATCTTCTTCCATAATCTCTGAAAATTCTTTAGAAATCACGGCATATTTTGTATCCATTCTATTTCTTTCATTAATAAATATTCTAAAATAGTGGGTCTCGGCTCCTGCAACTTTGGTTTCATTCTCCAGATGGTAGTGGAGAGCGTGAAGGCTGGTGTCGTTTCTGTGGTATATGAACACAGCGTAACCTTGGAGAGCCTGCTGTATCTGATAGAAAAAGCTCTGGACGGGAGGAAGGCACAGAGCATGGGAATATTTAGCGATGGAGATAGCAGAGAAATCAATTTACTCCAAGGTAGGCCTGGGGATTGACGATGAACAACCATGCAACTTCGTGCTGTGCGGTTTGTCCCCAGTATGACTTGCGGAGGACTATTTCAGTTCCAAGTTGCTAAGATGCATTGATTTTTTGGCTTTATGAAAAAATGAAGCTTTTTTTTTTTTTTTTCTTGATTCAGGGTCTCTTTCTGTCACCCAAGCTGGAGTGCAGTGGTGTGATCACAGCTCCCTGCAGCCTAGACTTCCCAGGCTCAAGTGATCTACCCACCTCAGCCTCCTGAGCAGCTGGGACCACAGGTGTGTGCCGCCACGCCCAGCTAATTTTTGTATTTTTTGTAGAGATGGGGTTTCTCCATGTTGCCCATGCTGGTCCCAAACTCCTGGGCTCAAGTGATTCTCCTGCCTTAGCCTCTTGAAGTGCTGGGATTACAGGGGTGAGCCACCACACCCTGACTTGAAGCAATTTTTTTGATGACCGTTTTTTCAAATTTTGATTAAAGAAACAGGTTACTGTCTTAACCATGTTGAAGTGTGCAGTTCAGTATTGTTGGTTCACACTGTTGTGAAGCAGATCTCCAAAAATTTTCCATCTTGCAAAACTGAAACGCTGTGCCCACTGAAAACAAACTTCTCTCTTCTCCTTTCCACAGGCCTGGCAACCACCATTCCACCTTGTTTCTGTGAATTTGAGTATTTTAGATACCTCTTATAGGGGAACCACACAGTATTTGTCTTGTCTTCTTGTGAATTACTTTTTTTTTTTTTTTTGAGACAGAGTCTCGCTCTTGTCTCCCAGGCTGGAGTGCAGCGGCACAATCTCAGCTCACTGCAACCTCTCTCTGCCTCCGGGATTCAAGTGATTCTCCTGCGTCAGCCTCCCAAGTAGCTGTGATTACAGGTGTCCACCACCATGCCTGGCTAATTTTTATATTTTTAGTAGAGATGGGGTTCCAGCATGGTGGCCAGGCTGGTCTTGAACTCTTAACCTCCAGTGATCCACCTGCCTCAGCCTTCCAAAGTGCTGGGATTACAGGCATGAGCCACTTTGCCTGGCCATGACTGGCTTATGTCACTTAGTATAACGTCCTGAAAGGTCATCCGTGTTGTATGTGTTCCTTTTAAGGGCATATATACAGCACGTTTTGTTTACCTGTTCATCCACTGATGGACACTGGGTTGCTTCCACTTCTACTGTGAATAGTGCTGCTATTGTTGAATATGGGTATGCAACCATCTTTTTGAGATCCTGCTTTCAATTCTGGATATGTACCAGAAGTGAGATTGACAGATTATATGATGGTTCTATTTTTACCTTTTAAAGAAATCTCCAGCCTGCTGCAGTGGCTCACACCTATAATCCCAACACTTTGGGAGGCTGAGGTGGGTGGATCACCTAAGGTTGGGAGATTGAGACCAGCCTGACCAACATAGAGAAACCCCGTCTCTACTAAAAATACAAAATTAGCCAGATGTGGTAGTGCATGCCTGAAATCCCAGCTACTCAGGAGGCTGAGGCAGGAGAATTGCTTGAACCCGGGAGGTGGAGGTTGCAGTGAGCCGAGATCGCGCCACTGAACTCCAGCCTGGGCAATAAGAATGAAACTCCATCTCAAAAAAAAAAAAAAAAAAAGAAAGAAAGAAAGAAAAAGAAATCTCGATGCTGTTTTTCATAGCAGTTGCATCATTTCTTAATCCCACCAACAGTGCACAAGGGTTACAGTCTCTACACATCCCACATCCTTGCCAACACTTATTTTCTGTGTGTATCTGTGTTTTTTATTTATTCATTTTTTGTTTTGTTTTGTTGGTTGTTTTTGGAGACAGAGCCTTGCTCTGTTGCCCAAGGTGAAATGCAGTGGCGTGATCATAGCTCACTGTAGCCTCGAACTCCTAGGCTCAAGTGATCCTTTTTCCTCAGCATCCTGAGTAGCTGATGCACACCATCATATCCAGCTAATTTCTATTTTTATTTTTTAGAGATGGGGTCCCACTATATTGTCCAGGCTGGTCTGGAACACCTAGCCTCAAGCAATCCTTCCAGCTCAGCCCCCAACATGCTGGGATTACAGGTGTGAGCCACCATGCCTAGCCTTTTTTTTTTTTTTAATAGTAGCCATCCTAATGGATGTAATATCTCATTGTGGTTTTGATTTGCATTTCTCTGATTAGTGATGTCAAGCATCTTTTCATAGGCTTGTTGGCCATTTGGTTATCTTCTTTAGAGAAATGTCTATTCATGTCCTTTGCACATTTTTAAAAAGTAGGTTATTTGATTTTTTTCACTGTTGAGTTAGAGTTCATATATTCCAAATATTAACCCCTTATCAAATATATGATTTGCAAATATTTTCTCCCATTACATAGATTTCATTTTCACTCTGTTGATTATACACTTTGATGCACAAAAGTTTTAAATTTGATGAAAGTGCAGCAATTTTAATAGCAAATACCAAGATCTATAAATTGGTATACACTAACATTTATTATATTCCTAGTTGGCTTATACTACAAAGGAAAGGAATGGCTGATATTGTCAACTTGTTATAGGGCAGCTATCACAAATCTCAATGGGGTGGAGCATGGTGGCTCACACTTGTAATCCTGACACTTTGGGAGGCCGAGGTAGGCGGCTCTCTTGAGCCCAGGAGCCCACACCAGCCTGGGCAACATGGCGAAACCCCATCTCTACAAAAAAATACAAAGAAATTAACTGGGTGTGGTGGCACACACCTCTGTAGTCCCAGCTATGCCTTGGCAGGCTGAGGTGGGAGGATCCCTGGAGCCCAGTGGGGTGGAGGCTGAAGTGAGCCATTGAACCACTGCACTCCAGTCTGGGCTACAGAACAAGACCTGGTCTTAAAAAAAACAAAAACAAAAACAAACTAAAAACCCCCAACCCCCTGCCCCTCAAAACAAACCTCAATGGTTACTTTTGTTCAGGAGAAAGAGATGATGAATGTTTCAGAAGTAAATATCTAGTTTCTATTCTTTTTTTTTTTTTTAATTTATTTATTATTATTAAACTTTAAGTTGTAGGGTACATGTGCACAACGTGCAGGTTTGCTACATATGTATACTTGTGCCATGTTGGTGTGCTGCATAGTTTCTATTCTTATAACTTACATTCTTCCTTGCTTACACTTAAAGTAAAATTGTTTTAAAACTTACGCAATTGAACTCTTCCATCATTGTGGGATGAGGGGAGAGAAGGAATAAGATGGTCCCAGATATGGCTGGAGTAAACCAGCAAAATGGCAAAGTGAGTCCCTGAGTCACCTGTCAAATTGCCATCTCTGTGGTTGGGACTTCATGTACTTGGAAAGTTTCACTGAAATTTATCATTGGCAGAAACGAATTGTTTTTTGTTTCACTTTACCTTACTTCTGGTTTTCCCTGTTTAGCTTACCTGTGCCTAGGGCAAGTTGTGTTCCACATCGTTTTTCTATGTCCTCCCAAAGTAAAGCACAGATACTATTTGTGTGGGGTTTAAATGTATAATGACATAGTAACTCTTCTCTAAATGGTGCAGAGATATTGGCAAGTTTATATGATGGGGGTAAGTTTATCTCGTGTAGAATGTCCTATTAGAGTTTCTTCATCTCAGCCTTTTTGTTCTCCAGGTAAGAAAAGTTTTCAAACTCTGCCTTTTCCTTATTCTGGGTGTTGTTTTGCTTTTTTGTTTTTTTGTTTTGTTTTGAGATGGAGTCTCATTCTGTCGCCCAGGCTGGAGTACAGTGTCGCAATCTCGGCTCACTGCAACCTCCGCCTCCAGGGTTCAAGCCATTCTTCTGCCTCAGCCTTTTGAGTAGCTGGGACTACAAGCATGCGTCACCATGCCCAGCTAATTTTTGTATTTTTAGTAGAGATGGGGTTTCACCATATTGGCCAGGCTGATCTCGAACTCCTGACCTTGTGATCCGCCTGCCTCGACCTCCCAAAGTGTTGGGATTACAGGCATGAGCCACCGCTCCTGGCCCTTATTTTGTTTTTTTTTTAAGCAACAGTAACAATGACAAAATACCTCAAACAACTAATTTCCTTCTATATAATTGTGGTGTTTTCCCAAAAGCTTTTGCTTTCAAAACAACATCAAAACAAAGTCGGCTACCCTGTCACATGAAGAAGTCCTTTCTCCCTCCCAGTGGGAGGGAGTGAAACACCAGAATTCTTTGCCTGTTTTCATTTCATCCCCAGAGCCTGGGAATGTGGAGTTTCCAGGACTCCTTTAGAAATGGGTCCAGACCCATGCAGCTTAGCGGAATCATCACACAGAATTGTCGGGAAGTGAGAGAAAAGGAGAGTTTCAGTTGATGGTTACCATCTCTGAGAGCCTTACTTCTGCTCTGCACTATTTATTTTTTAATTGACAATCCTGGGAAACAGTTCTACTTTGGAACTTGGTTGCAAAGTCCCATGACTTGCTGGCCATCCACCCTAAACCCTGCATGCGCCTGATATCTTACCCTGCTGCACAGTGGAGGCAGAAATGCAGTGTCCTAAACCTGAGTGCATACTGTCCAGTTCACCCAGGATGTGAAGGAGAACAGGGCCATGGTGATGGCCCTGACATGGTGCAGGAGGAAGCAGAGATGCCTCAGGTATCTTGGTCTTATAGGCAGATGGCATTTTGGTTTTGTGCTTACATTTTCACAAACTGCTAATAATTTCTGTTCAGGATTATGTTACAAACTAATATGACATTTTGATTTTTTTTTCCTCAGGCTATAAAATTGGTGTTAAAAATTTACTGAGGCCTGAAGTGAGAGATTTCTGGGAGAAATTAGGAAGCTATGTGGCCACTGAAGAAGAAGGGGGTCATGTGGACTTCTTCGTGCCCCTTGGAGCATCAGGTTAGCTCAGAACACCTCGTACAGAGACAGTGGCCTTGCCACTTCATGGGGATATGTTGTGAATTACTGAAATGCCCCTGGGTCAAATGATTCAGTCACATTTCATGCTTCAATTTCTTTTTTCTTTATACTTCACATATCCAGGTATTTCAGGAAAGTAGCAGTGAGGGATAGTGATGAGAGTAACCTATCTCTGCAGAAATACAGTCCCTAAATGGCAAGACCCAGCAGCATTATTTCTATTTATTCTGGAAAACACAATAAAACCAGCATCCAGGATATAAGGGAAGGTGCCTGACCATCATAGAAGCCATATCATTCAATCCAAGAAAATGTCCCCTGCCGCCTTCTGAACCTGGAGTAGGCGTGAACTTTGGTGACCAAGAACCTGAACTTGAGTTCCATCCATACCATCGTTTAGCTTTGTGGCATTAGGCAAACTTGTGGACCTCCATTTCCTCATATGAAATTTAGAACAACAGTATCTTAGTGTGTCTTAAGGACTTGTGAATATCAAGATGACATAAATATTTAAATAATAAATATAGTATATATTCTTAGATAATATTAAAAATAGCGAAGTGCTTTATAAAGATGAGTATGGCTAATGACTAAGGTTGCTGATATCATTTTAAGTGGCTGCCTGTCTAGAATCAGCAACTGTGATTCAAAGTTGATTTCTATGCTTGAAGAGAAACTTCAGAAGCATTAAGTCAAATTCACTCTTTGAGATCTGTTCAGTAAAAGCTCTGTATTCATGGACAATGTTTTACCAAGCAGAGCAGGGGAGAGGGAATGTGAAATTAAATTATCTCATGCTGTTTTGTTGTTGTTGTCGTCGTTAGCCATTCCTTGGGGAACTGTGAGTTTTAAAATTCTTTCTACTCCTCAAATTTCATAGGACTGTTGGACATATGCAAAGCAAGCCCCTGGCAGGCTTCAATCAGGGGACAGGAAAAAAAAGAATGGGAAAGAATTTTTTAAAACGTGTAAATAATTTTACAAAATTATTCCAGTTACATATATATATATTTCTTAAATCTCAATTATGTAGAAAATACACTAGTCGGGTGTGGTGGCTCACGCCTGTAATCCCAATACTTTGGGAGGCCAAGGTGGGCAGATCAACTGAGGTCAGGGTTCGGGACTAGCCTGGCCAATATGGCGAAACCCCATCTCTACTAAAAATAGAAAAAATTAGCTGGGTGTGGTGGTGGGTACCTATAATCCCAGCTACTCAGGAGGCTGAGGCAGGAGAATCTGCTGGGAGGCAGAGGTTGCTGTGAGCCAAGATCACACCACTACACTCCAACCTGGGCGACAGAATGAGACTCTGCCTCAGGAAAAAAAAAAAAAGAAAGAAAATACACATAGAAAAATCTAAAAGGAAATATACCAAAATATTAACAGCACCTATTTCAAGATGCGTTTTATAATTTCCCTACTTTTCTACTTTTGAACTTAGTTTTAAAAGACTAGGTTACAAAGAGTTGGATGGTGTGATCTCATTGTTTACAACATGCGTGAGTTGGTGTATGTATTTATAGAAAAAGATTTGGAAGGATGTATACCAAGGTGTTGACACTAGTTGGATATAAGTGAGTTTTCCTTTCTTTTTTTCTCCCTTTAATTTATTTTGTCTCAATTTCCTGTAATGAACTAATATTACTTTTATAATAAGAACAAAACAAATATTTTAAGTGAAGAAAGGACTTGGGAAAGTATTGAAAGGTAGAATAAGAATAAAGGGGGGAAAGTGGATTCAGTGACATAAAAATTATCTCAAGTGAAACAAAAAATAGGCTTCCCATCACCATTCTGGGCCCCGAAATTCTCATCAAACGTAATATTCACCTGGGTGCATCAAAGATCATTGACTTCTCAGTCCAAATATCTCTTTTCCACCACTTCAGGCATCCCTCTTAGGCTTGTCAGCCCAGTAGCTGTATCACCCTAAAATCTTGATTTCAAGTATTTATCTTTGAGAACCATTTTCAAATCATGTACTCAAATACCCCCACCACAGCAATTCTTTTCGTCTTTTTTTTTTCCCAGATGGAGTATCACTCTGTCGCCCAGGCTGGAGTGCAGTGGCGTGATCTCGGCTCACTGCAATCTCCACCTCCCGGGCTCAAGCGATTCTTCTCAGCCTCCCAAGTAGCTGGGACTACAGGCATGCGCCACCACACCCAGCTAATTTTTGTAATTTTAGTAGAGACAGGGTTTCACCATATTGGCCAGGCTGGTCTAGAACTTCTAACCTCATGATCCACCCACCTCAGCCTCCCAAAGTGCTGGGATTACAGGCATAAGCCAGCACACCTGGCCCAGCAATTCTTTATCTAAGACCTCCAGCCTACACGCTCCAACTTTTTCACTATCACCACGTCTTCATTTTTGCTTCCTTCCTTGTTAAACTTGGATTTAATGGCCCAACTTTATCATCACTCCCTTGCTAAGAATCTGAACTTCCTTGTCTTTTTTGGGTAAATCCCAATTCATTTGGCTAAATCCCAAAGTTAGTTAAAACACAACTCTCTGCACACGCTCTACCTGTGGGTACTAAAGCAGCTTTAAAGACTGTGGGAGTAAGTGATACAACTGTTCTGATTGGTCTAACTTTACTTTGGTGACATAACTGTCAAATGGGATTGCAACACTGATGAGCAATTTCCTTGGTAAATTCATTTTCACACTCTTTGAGATGACAATTTTATCTCTTCTCTTTAGACAATCTTTCAATAACCCTGTCTCTCAGCTTTGACCTCACCTTTTACTTCCCTGAGAAAACAGAATCATATGGGAACTCCCTAATTTTCCTCCCACCATCGAATCCACCACTAGCTCCACCTCTTACTTTTTATTCTGTCTCCCTTTCTGCCTTGATGGAAGCAGCACCCGTCTCAAACAAGCTCAGATACTGCACTTGGAATCTAGCCCGTTGCCTTTCATCTTCTCCAGACTTCCTACATCCAATCCTCTCCTACGCCCTCATGTCTCTCTTTATTGGATTGTTTCTATCAAACAGAAACACCTGTAGTATCTCCTGTCTTTTAAAAAAATAAAAGGACAACAAGCTTTCCCTCGCCACTTTTTCAATTGACAAGACCAGAGGTTCTCAGACTTGAGCATGCATCCATATCACCTGGAGGGCTGGTTAAACTACACATTGCTGGGTCCCACGCAGAGTTTCAGACTCAGTTAAGTCTGGGGTGGGGCTGGAGAATTTTCCTTTCTATCAAGTTTCCAGGTTATGTTGACGCTGCTGCTTCAAGGCCTTCCTTCCTCACCTCCCACACTCCCCTCAAGCTCCTCCAATAGGTCTCTGTCTCTACTGGCACTGCTTTTGGAGGACTGTAAGTGACTTCCACGTGCTCAAATCCAGTGGTCCCTGCTCCATTCCCATCTCACTTTGACTTCTTGGAAGCATCTGATGCAGAGGAATGCCCCTTCTTGAAATACTCCTTCTCTTGTTGTCCCTAATATCACCCGCTCCCTGTTTCCTCTTACCTCAGTGACCTCTTGTCTCCTTTGCAGGTTCTTCTTTCTCTTCAGGATCCTTAAATATTCTCTACGGCTTGATCCTAGCCTCTCTCCTTTTCCACATACGCACTCTCCTCCCTAGGCAGTCTCACTACTCCTATGTGTATTAGTCCTTTCTCACGCTTGGTCCGTTCTCACGCTGCCAGAGACTGGGTAATTTATAAAGGAAAGAGGTTTAATTGACTCATAGTTCTGCATGGCTGGGGAAGCAAACACGTCCTTCTTCACATGGCAGCAGGAGGGAGAAAACTAAGAGCTGAGCAAAGGAGGAAGCCCCTTATAAAACCATCAGATCTCATGAGAACTCACTCGCTCTCACGAGAAGAGGATGGGGAGATTGCCCCCTTAATTCAATTATCTCCACCTGGTCCCACCCTTGACACGTGAGGATTATTACAATTCAAGATGAGATTTTGGGTGGGGACACAGCCAAACCATATCACTATGACTCTAAATATAATTTATATGCTGAGAACCCCGAAATTTATGTCTCCAGCTCTGAAATCTCTGAGCTGTAGACTCATATCTAATTCCCACTTGGAATCTTCATACTGGATGTTTAATTTTCACATTTAATAGACACCTCAAAGTTAAATCAGACCCTTGATTGCCTCCCCAGCACCAAACCTACCCCTTCCCCAGATTCCTCCGTAAAAATATCATTCAACAGTTACTGCATAAGCCAAAAATCTGAGAATCTGAGACTCATTCTTTTTGGCATTAAATATAATTAATATACAATAAACTGTACATAACTAAAGTGTGCAATTGACTAAATTTTGACATGTGTATGCTTATCCCATGAAACCATAAGAAAAATCAAGAAGATGAACATATTCATTACCCCCAAAACTTTCCTTATGCCATTCCATAATTTCTCTGTCCTGCTTCTCCCCACCCCCAACCTGAGGCAACCACTGGTCTTTCTTTCACGTATATTAGTCTTCATCTTCTGGAATTTTCCCTTTTTTTTTTTTTTTTTGAGACAGGGTCTGCTTTGTTGCCCAGGCTGGAGTGCAGTGCTGAAATCAAGGCTCAGTGCAGCCTCAACTTCCTGGGGTCAAGCGATCCTCCCACCTCAGCCTCCTGAGTAGCTGGGACTACAGGTGCACAACACCACACTTGGCTAATTGTTTTATTTTTAGTAGAGACAGGGTCTCCCTACGCTTCCCAGGCTGGTCTTGAGCTCCTAGGCTCAAGCAGTTCTCCTTCCTCAGCCTGCTGGGATCACAGACGTGTGCCATCCCACCTGGCCTAGAATTTTCCTTTTCCTTTTTTCTTTTTTAATATGGAACATTTCAAAAATTTGCAGGTCATCCATGTGCAGAGGCCATACTAATCTTCTCTGTATTGTTCCAATTTTAGTATACGTGCTGCCAAAGTGAGCACTGACCTAGAATCTTCTATAAATGGCATCATACAGTATGTATTATCTGTCTGACTTTCTTCACTCAATCATTATTTTAGATTTATCCATTCGATGCATGTATCAATGTCTCCTTTTTACTACTGGGAATTATTACATTGTACATGTATACTACACTTTGTTTATCCATTAATTTGTTGATAGATAAATTTGAGTTCTTCCTGGTTTCTGCTTTTACAAATAAAGCTGCTATGAACATATGCTTTCATTTCTCTTGGATGAATACCTGGGAGTAGAGTGGCAAGGTTATATGTAGGTGTATGTTTAACTTTATAAAAACACCAGCTAAACTGATTTCCAAAGTGACTTTAGCATTTTATATTTCCACAAGCGGTATTGAGAACTCTAGCTGCCCATCATTCTAACACTTGGTATGGCCAGTCTTTTTAATTTTAGCCATTCGGGTGGGTATGTGGTGGTATCTCATTGTGGTTTTAATTTGTATTTTCCTAATGACTAATGATGCTCAAGATCTTTTCATATGCTTATTTGCCATTCTTTTGACCATCTTAAAGACTAGGTTGTTTGTTTCTTATTCAGTTTTAAGAACTCTTTGCACATACTGGATAAGTAACTTACAAATATTTTCTCCAGTTTGTGACTTATATTTTCCTTCTTTGAACAGTTTCTTTTCAAGCAGAGTTCTTTTTTTTTTTTTTTTGAGACAGAGTTTCGCTCTTGTTACCCAGGCTGGAGTGCAATGGCCCAATCTTGACTCACTGCAACCTCCGCCTCCCAGGTTCAAGCGATTCTCCTGCCTCAGCCTCCTGAGTAGCTGGGATTACAAGATTACAGATGCCCACCACCATGCCCAGCTACTTTTTGTATATTTTTAGTAGAGACAGGGTTTCACCATGTTGGCCAGGCTAGTCTTGAACTCCTGACCTCAGGTGATCTGCCCACCTCGGCCTCCCAAAGTGCTGGGATTACAGGCATGAGCCACTGTGCCCAGCCTGAAGTACAGTTCTTAATTTCAGTGAAATCAAATATATCAAATGTCCTTGTATAGATCATGCTTTGGCATCATATCTAAACATGATTTACCTAACCAAAGGTCACTAAGATTTTCTCCTATGTTTTTTCTAAATGATTTATAGCTTTAAGTTTGACTTTTAGGTCTGTGATCAACTTGACTATTTTTTTAATGTGATATATGAGATATGGATAGAAGTTAATTTTTTTTTTACATATGGCTAGTTGTTTCATCACCATTCTTTATAACTACTATTCTTTTTCCAATGAATTTAATTTGTACCTTTGTTGAAATCTATTGACTATGTATGTACATTGGACTCTCTATTTGATTTCATTCATGAATTTGTCAATGAAAGTGCTATAGGCATCAGTAGGTGAGAGACATCCCAAACTTTCAGCTGCTGTCATCTTGTTTCATGAAGCAATTGAAGCATTTTGGAGTATTTATTCTTGGACCACAAATAGTTAAAATAAATTACCCATTTCATTCCAAGTAATTCAACCTGTATGCTGAATTAAATAATTCAATCTATATGTTGTGCCACTGAAGGGGCTATTTTTTTATTATTTATTTATTTATTTATTTATTTATTTATTTTTTACTTGGAGTTCTGGGATATAAGTACAGTGTGTGTACCTTTGTTACATGGGTATACATGTGCCATGGTGATTTGCTGCACCTATCAACCCGTCATCTAGGTTTTAAGCCCTGCATGCATTAGCTATTTGTCCTAATGCTCTCCCTCCCCTTTCCCCCCAACCGTCCTAGGCCCCGGTGTATGATGTTCCCCTCCCTGTGTCCATGTGTTCTCATTGTTCAACTCCCACTTATGAGTGAGAACATGCGGTGTTTGGTTTTCCGTTCCTGTGTTAGTTTGCTGAGGATGATGGCTTCCAGTTTCATCCATGTCCCTGCAGAGGACATGAACTCATTGTTTTTTATGGCTGCCTAGTATTCCATGGTGTATATGTGCCACATTTTCTTTATCCAGTCTACCATTGAGGGACATTTGGGTTGGTTCCAAGTCTTTGCTATTGTGAACAGTGCTGCAATAAACATACGTGTGCATGTGTCCTTATAGTAGAATGATTTATAATCCTTTGGGTATATACCCAGTTATGGGATTGCTGGGTCAAATGGTATTTATGGTTCTAGATCCTTGAGCAATCACCACACCATCTTCCACAATGGTAGAACCAATTTACACTCCCCCAACAGTGTAAAAGCGTTCCTATTTCTCCACAGCCTTACCAGCACCTGTTGTTTCCTGACTTTCTAATAATCACCATTCTAACTGGCATGAGATGGTACCTCATTGTGGCTTTGATTTGCATTTCTCTAATGACCAGTGATGATGAGCTTTTTTCCATGTGTTTGATGGCCTCATAAATGTCTTCTTTTGAGAAGTGTCTGTTCACATCCTTCGGCCACTTTTTGATGGGGTTGGGTTTTTTTTGTTTGTTTTTTCTTTTTTTCTTGTAAATTTGTTTAAGTTCCTTGTAGATTCTGGATATTAGCCCTTTGTCAGATGGATAGATTGCAAAAATTTTCTCCCATTCTGTAGGTTGCCTGTTCACCCTGATGATAGTTTCTTTTGCTCTGCAGAGGCACTTTAGTTTAATTAGATCCCATTTGTCAATTCTGGCTTTTGTTGCAATTACTTTTGGTGTTTTCGTCATGAAGTCTTTGCCCAGGGAAGGGGCTAAATTTTAACCATCATATTCCATCCTGTGTTTAACTTTTTAAAATCTATCCTCTTATAATGAGACTTATCCTTTGAGTCAGACTATTTTAGAAAAAATATGTAGATTTTTCTCTTTCTTTGGGCTGGGTATTCCAAATCTGAAAATAAGCCCCAGATCAAACTCCATACCCTCTTTCCCCATCCTGTAGTTTAGTCCTCAGATTGTTTCGGCTTCAGCATTTAGGGGTGAACTATAAAGTGTTCATGGACTGTTCAATGGAGTGGTTTGAATGGAAGACGAGAACTGCTAGCGGCCTTTCTTGGCCATCTCTTTAGTGTCCGTACATAATATTTAACTGCTCTGGATTAGTCTGTTCTTGCATTGCTATAAAGAAATACCTGAGGGTGGGTAATTTATAAAGAAAAGAGGTTTAATTACTTCGTGGTTCTCCAAGCTGTATAGGAAGCATGCCACTGGCATCTGCTTGGTGTCTGGTGAGGGCCTCGGGGAGCTTATAATCACGGCAGAGGGTGAAGGGGCCGCTGGTGTGTCACATGGCAAGAGCGGGAACAAGAGAGAGGGAGGAGGTGCCACACACTTTTAAACAACCAGATCTTGTGTGAACTCAGAGTGAGAGCTCACTCATCACTAAGGGGATGGCACTAGCCATTCATGAGGGATCTGCCCCCATGATCCAGATACCTCCTGCCAGGCCCCACCTCCAACGCTGGGGATTAGATTTCAACATGAGATTTGGAGGGAACAAATATCCAAGTTATGTCATCTTCCATGGCAAAACATATGAGTAAACTAACAAAAGTATTTTTTACTATGCAGAGGCAGGAACTGAAGTTCTTTCCCAGCTGTCTCAACTAACTGGCACATTCTTTACGGCCCCCACTGGGATTGCAACTGGCTCTTACCAGCACAGTAAGTGTTATGGGAGCTGAGTGCCATGTCCAATAACACAAGCCAACTCCAGGATCATCAAAAGACAAAATCCAGTTAATAGTACTGGTATGGCTGATATCCATTACTCTCTTTCATTCCTCCCCTGAAGGAACGCTATTACTTCCCAAACTAGGTAATCTCACATCACTCAGTCATTTGCTTAGAAGAGAATTATTTATTGTACATATTTGCCCCAAACCATCATTTACAAAAACTCTGTTGAAAACATACTCTTTAACAATTAAGCAAAGTTGCTGATCTAGAAAAATAATAAGTACAAAGAATAACTTTTCTTGGTAAAATATAGTCAATATGGTTTTATTTGGAAAAATAAATTGTAGCTATGAAGAGATGGCAAAGAGGCTGGCTTAGTTTCCATTACAGTAGCATTATCTGAGAGGAAAAACAATCAGAGAAAATACACCTGAAAGCAAACTTTCATTTAGGTACTAAAGCTGCAAATTTAGATTAAAATGTAACATGGGCTGACCAACAAGAGAGTCAAATTGCTTTGTTACGCTGACGCCAGTCATTTTCCGCTTTAAAACACCCTTGATTCCTATCAAGTAGGGCTGAGAGTGATGCAAACTATATAAAGCATTGCTTCTCTACTCCTAAATGCCAAGGGCCTTTTAGAACTTGGGAAAACTGGCACAATTGTGAAACTGGTAAGGGAAAAAATTCTTTATAGATAAAAGCGCATTGACCTAATATAGTTTTGAAGCAGAGGTCACTTGCTAATTTTAGTTAATATAGCAACATCACCAAATGATAGCATATTTGGCTCTGTAGAGAGAGGAACTGGCCTAGCAGAGCGCAGCAGGCTGTGAACACTGTTGCTGGTAATAGGGAACAGGTTTTCTTTCTTTCTTCCTCTTTTTTTTTTTTTTTTTTTTTTTTTGAGACAGAGTCTTGCTGTGTCGCCAGGCTGGAGTGCAGTGGCACGGTCTCGATCTTGGCTCACTGCAACCTCTGCCTCCTGGGTTCAGGCAGTTCTCCTGCCTCAGCCTCCTGAGTAGCTGGGACTACAGGCGCCCGCCACCATGCCCAGCTAATTTTTGTATTTTTAGTGAAGATGGGGTTTCACTATGTTGGCCTGGGTGGTCTTGATCTCTTGACCTTGTGATCCACCCACTTTGGCCTCCCAAAGTGCTGGGATTACAGGTGTGACCCACCACATCTGGCTGGGAACAGGTTTTCTTCTTTTTCTCCTCCTCTGCCTTCCCTTCCTCCTATTCATCCTCCTTTTCCCCCTCTTGTTCTCATTCTCCTTATTTAAAAAAAAAAAAAAAAAAAAGTATGTTGTGTCTGGGTGCGGTGGCTCACACCTGTAATCCGAGCACTTTGGGAGGCCGAGGCAGGAGCATCACGAGCTCAGGAGTTAGACACCAGCCTGGCCAACATGGTGAAACCTCGTCTCTATTAAAAATACAAAAATTAGCCAGGCAGTAGTGGCATGCATCTATAGTCCCAGCTACTTGGGAGACTGAGGCACAAGAATTGCTTGAACCTGGGAGGCGGAGGTTGCAGTGAGCCGAGGTCGTGCCACTATACTCCAGCCTGGGTAACAAAGCAAGACTCTGTCTCAAACAAAAACAAAAACAAAAACATGTTGTGAAGCTTTCCACATGTCTATCAGTAACAGTAGAGGAAACAAAGCAAGTAAGGCTATGTATCCACTCAGGACAGAAAATCAAATATAACATACGAGTGCATCATCCAGTAATTGTTTTTTAAGAAGAGAAACTTTCTTTAAGCATCTGCTATAGTCCTGTAGACAGATTTGTAGAGCGAGGTAGCAGTTTGACATAATTTAAGAAAGATAAGGATTTGGCTATGACAGGGTTGACTTTCAGTGGCCTGATGGGGAAGCCGTGTAGTGTGGGATTTCTTGTGTTTTCACTTGTAGACTGGAAAGATACAGCAATGCATTCTTCCTTAGATGACTTCTCAGCTTCCCAATGCACAATCCAGCAGCTGTTTTTTTTTTTTTTTTTTAACTTTGAATGGAATACGTCAGCCTCAGCTATCAAAGAGATGCATTTGAAATGATTCATTGAATCCTTTTTGAGTTTCTAATTTTACCTTTGAAAACAGAGGATGGGTGTTTGTCTTAGTCTTCTAATGAGAAACGATAATAAACTCAATACAAATGCAACTAAGTTTTTGTTGTACTTTAAACAAGACGTAGAATTCTTTCATCTGAGCTCAAGCCTGCAATAATAACAGAAGAAAATCTTGTCAGTTCTTAGTGATTGGCTGGGATCCCAATGGGGAAAGGCCCCCTCTTCCATCTACTTCTGCGAAGCAAAGCTACAGACATGGTCCAGCTTCGCAGACTTCCTAGAAGAAACCTTGAAAACAGTAAGGAAGCAGCTGTATCCTCTCTTCAAGGAACTGCAGAAGAGCATCAGTGGCAGGATGATAGGTAAGCAGTCTTGCTACTTCTGTTGCAGGTTAATTATGAAGTTGCTTTCACATCCCGAGTGAATACTAGTTGTGGCGCAAGTAAAATTTTAACTCCAGTAAAACTTTATCTCCTAGGTTGCTCACACTTCCTTTCAAATGTAATGAATACCCGTTAAGAACAAATATATTCAGGTTCAAAAATGTTGAAGCTGGTTCTTATTTTAACATTTTACCACCTTATTAATTCTTTGTCACTTATTTACCTGGACACAATTTGCTGTTTGCTAAGCCAGAGAGCTGTGCACTTTTCCCACTAGAGTTTGCTCTGAAAGTTAAGCACCTCTTATACCCCAGCAACTATTACATAAATTGTTCTACAATTTAAATTCTATTTATTTTCTATCTAAAAAATATAATTTAGTGATGGGCTCCATGGGCCTTTGCTGAGTCTATTGGACATGGTTGAATGAATTTTTCCATTCACATTCCAGCCCCATGATGGAATGAATGATCACAGCAGAGCCCTTTGAAAACCATTTACTTCCTCCACTTTGCATCTTTTCCTAAATTAGTCCATTCTGTAAAATTAAGTATATTTCACCATCTAGGTAAAGAGTTTTTCTTTTTCTCATCTGCAACTATTCATATCTATTCAATTTTTCCCCTACTACTTTCCGCCTGACTAAAACACCGTATGAATCAAATCACCCTCTATCTATGCCTTTCTTCTTTTCCTCTGCCCAGCTCCATATTTAAGGTCTGTTTACATAGTTACCATCTACACAAGAGCTGTAACACACAAGTGTGCATGCAGATATCTGTCAATATGTGTCCTATGTCTCTTTACAGAAATGCCTCCAAAACAGGGATTTGCCTTCCTGCTTATTTGTACTACCTACTCTATCACATTTAGGAGGTGTTCAACCATTATTTAAAAATGGTTATGAAGTTGTAAACACGGAGAAAGTATTTCTCCTAGTTCTTTCTTTCTTTCTTTTTTTTTTTTTAGACAGAGTTTCACTTTTGTCCCCCATGCTGCAGTGCAATGGTGCGATCTCAGCTCATTGCAACCTCCGCCTCCCGGGTTCAAGGGATTCTCTTCCCTCAGCCTCCTGAGTAACTGGGATTACAGGCATGCACCACCATGCCCAGCTAATTTTTGTATTTTTAGTAGAGACAGGGTTTCACCATGTTGACCAGGCTGGTCTCAAACCCCCGACCGCAAGTGATCCGCCCATCTCAGCCTCCCAAAGTGCTGGGATTACAGGCGTGAGCCACCGTGCGCAGCCTATTTTTCGTATTTTTAGTATTTTTAGTAGAGACGGGGTTTCGCCATGTTGGCCAGGTTGGTCTCAAACTCCTGACCTCAAGTGATCTGCCCACCTCAGCCTCCCCAGTAGCTGTCACACCTGGCTAAAGATAAGAGTATTTATGAAATAATATACATAGGCAATGAGAAGAAAATGGAAAAATAATTTTTTTTTTTTTTTTTTTTTTTTGAGACGGAGTCTCACTCTGTCACCCAGGCTTGAGTGCGGTGTCACGATCTTGGCTCACTGCAAGCTCCACCTCCTGGGTTCACACCATTCTCCTGCCTTAGCCTCCCGAGTAGCTGGGACTACAGGTGCCTGCCACCACGCCCAGCTAATTTCTTTTTGTAGTTTTTTAGTACAGACGGGGTTTCACTCTGTTAGCCAGAATGGTCTTGATCTCCTGACCTTGTGATCCGCTCGCCTCGGCCTCCCAAAGTGCTGGGATTACAGGTTTGAGCCACTGCACCTGGCCCAACAATTTTTTAAATAACTGCATCGTGTTAAAAATATTTTAAAAATTAAAAGATGTCTGTGTATGTATGTTTGCATGTTATTTACTTTGGACTTTAAAATATTTATATATTTGAAGCCTGGTGCAGTGGCTCAGCCTGTAATCCCAACAGTTTGGGAAGCTGAGGCAGGTGGATTGCTCGAGCTCAGGAATTTGAGACCAGCCTGGGCAACATGGCAAAACATCGTCTCCACAGAAAAATAGAAAAATTAGCTGGGTGTGGTGACGTGTGCCTGTAATCCCAGCTACTCAGGAGGCTGAAGCATGAGAATTGCTTGAGCCGGGGAGGTAGAAGTTGCAGTGAGCTGAGATTGCGTCACTGCACTCCAGCCTGGGCAACAGAGTGAGACCCTATCTCAAAAAAAAAAAAAAAAAATGTCTATTTGAGCATAAAGATAAAGGAGAAGATAGAGGAACTTCTGGTAGGATCGAGAGTCTAACATTTAAACTTATTGAGCTCCTTTTTACATGCTCTCTCCTTATTGTCCAATTTATACATTTCATTCAATATCAGCTTTGCCAGAGTGGGCACTTTTTATATGCTAGACATTTAGATTACTTTGGTTCATTTTATATTTTATCATAGTAGAAATCCTCATTGGGTAATAGAAGTTTTACTGCTATTCTTTGCATTTTTATCCACTAAAAAACAACTGTGGGTCTAGTACGATGGCTCATGTCTGTAGTCCCAATGCTTTGGGAGGCTGAGGTGGGTAGATTGCTTAAGGCTAGGAGTTTGAGACCAGCTTGGGAAACATAGCAAGACTCCAGGGTAGATTGCCAAGGCTAGGAGTTTGAGACCAGCTTGGGAAACATAAGACTCCATCTCTACAATAAGTTAAAAAATTGGCTGGCCGTGAGTGGCTCACGCCTGTAATCCCAGCACTTTGGGAGGCCGAGGCAAGAGGATCACTTGAGGTCAGGAGTTCGAGACTAGCCTGGCCAACATGGTGAAACCTGGTCTCTACTAAAAAAAAAAAAAAAAAAAATAGATGGGCGTGGTGGCAGGCGCCTGTAATATCAGCTTCTCAGGAGACTGAGAAAGTAGAATTGCTTGAACCCAGGAGGCGGAGGTTGCAGTGAGCCCAGATTGCGCCCACTGCACTCCAGCTCAGGTGACAAGAGTGAGATTCCATCTCAAAATAAATAAATAATAGTTTAAAAAGTAAGCAGGCATGGTGGTGTACGCCTCTATAGTCCCAGCTACTTGAGAGGCTGAGGCGGAAGGATCTTTGAGCTCAGGGAATCAAGGTTGCAGTTAAGATTTTGTCACAGCACTCCTAGCCTGAGCAACAGAGTAAGATCCTGTCTCAAAAAAAAAAAAAAAAAAAAAAAAAGGCAACTGTGAGGACTGAGTTGTTGTTTTTAAATCACATTTCTTGCATAAATCAATTACAGGGCATGTGGCCTTATATATTTACAGTGGGCAGTTTATGTTTGACACTGGTATGACTAACATTCTGGAATAACCAAGAGACTACAATAAGTCATAAGATACTGATGGAGTTGTCAAAAGAAGATTCTGTAAGTGTTTTCTCTGAAGAAAGTAAACTATGAAAACCAACATTTAAATAAATTCTGTTTGCAGTTATTGTTAATTTTGACCAGTTTATCCTCTCTGAAGCACAGTTCCTCAGAGAAATGACATCAGTTTATGAGAACAGTCACTAAGGGATTCTGGGCACAAGATGTGTTAAGTACACAAGACAGACAAGTAGGAAAATCTTCTAGGTTATTTAAAGTTTATTACATTGTGCCCTGTTTTCTGTCTTGTGCTTAATTTCAGTCAGAAGTGACTTTTATAGATATATATGTAAAACATATTAGTGGCTTTATATTTCACATAAACTTTACTCAACAGTGAAACCAATTCTAGTTTGGAGGAGAAACCTGAGAAAGTGGGGACTCAGATGTGAAAAGATGAAGGGAAGGGGGCTAGATGAGAGAGGAAGGGAAAGAGAACACAACAGAACAGAAAGAAGCAAATCAGTAATCTCAAGTTGGGGTTGGGTGTAGGAGAAGCCCAAAGAAACAATTCATCAGACACAGATCCAAGATTCTCTCTCTCATTAAGGCTGGCCCACACTTCAGAAAACAGCAGAAGAAGCCAGTTCACATTTCAGAAAATGGTGAGAGGTCAGTCTCCAGACAGCTCTCACAGCCCCAAAGAGGACAGCTTGGCTATAGGAAAATGCAGTGTGGCCAGGCTCACACCTTTAATCCCAGCACTTTGGGAGGCAGAGGCAGGCAGATCATTTGAGGTCAGGAGTTGGCGACCAGCCTGGCCAACATGGTGAAACCTCATCTCTACTAAAAATACAAAATTAGCTGGTCATGGTGGTGGGCACTGTAATCCCAGTTACTCAGGTGGCTGAGGCAGGAGAATCGCTTGAACCCGGGAGGTGGAGGTTGCAGTGAGCCGGGTCGGGCCACCACTGCACTCCAGCCTGTGTGACAGAGACTCTGTCTCAAAAAAAAAAAAAAAAAAAAAAGGAAGAAAGAAAGAAAGAAAGAAAGAAAGAAAGAAAGAAAGAAAGAAAGAAAGAAAGAAAGAAAATGCAACGTGCAGCTCTCCATCTGAGGGAAGTCAGGAATACGAATAGGATGGAGATAGGGCTGATGTTAACATATTCAATAACCTAATTCTCCAGTTTCCAAGGAATTCTCAAGGAGAGTCTCATCTTTCTTTTCCACCATTATAATTCTACTTTGTGGGTGAGTTTCACACTGTCTGCACACGTTCTCTCTCTCCTTATTATCGAGTATCTGCTCCTGTTTCAGTGTGGCTTCTGGGTCTGCACCAGGCATCTCTGGGCGTAGCTGTCCTGCACTGGGTGGGGGCTGCGAAGCTGCATTAGCTGTAGTTTGTCTTCTGTGAAGTCTCAGCTACGCAGTGAGGCTCAGGCAGCCCAATGACGAAAGGCCTTTGGCGAGTCTTGCTGATAAAATGAGCAGGGATATTCACAGAGATGCCCCCGCACTGTCTCCCAAAACACCGAAGGATTACTCAGCGTGCTTGGTGTCAGTTCAGTGTACTTATTTCCACTAATTATTTAAAAATAACCATGTATGATATAATTTGGATGGTGCTCAAACCTATAGCCTGAGAGGGAACCAAATTTGAGAGACCCAGCATGTTTTTCCTAGCAATTCTGCTACCGCAGCCTCTTTCCCAGGCCGCCTTCTTCCCCGTGAAAGACAACAAGATCCCTCCTCTTCCCTTTCCTCATTTGTCCGAGGGGATGGTGTGGGCCACTTTGCTTCCAAAGATCTTGAGAGACCCTCCCATGAAACTTTGGTGTCTTAACTGGATTGTGACAAATTGTTGAGAACCAAGAGTACGTATGGTAACTGGAATATGAGATTAACTAGAAAGTCTCATGTACTGACTCGAATTGAGTACTAGTCGCTCTGTTTTCTGGACATGTAAATTAATTAGGTAGAAAGCTGAAATCCCTGCTAAAAAGTGTGTTCTCTCTTCTGCTGCACTGTTAACACCTGTATTTCAGATGAATGTTTTTTGTTTTTTTGTTTTTGTTTTTTGTTTTTTGAGACGGAGTCTCGCTCTGTCGCCCAGGCTGGAGTGCAGTGGCCGGATCTCAGCTCACTGCAAGCTCCGCCTCCCAGGTTTACGCCATTCTCCTGCCTCAGCCTCCCGAGTAGCTGGGACTACAGGCGCCTGCCACCTCGCCCGGCTAGTTTTTTGTATTTTTTTTTTTTTTATCAGAGGCGGGGTTTCACCGGGTTAGCCAGGATGGTCTCGATCTCCTGACCTCGTGATCCGCCCGTCTCGGCCTCCCAAAGTGCTGGGATTACAGGCTTGAGCCACCGCGCCCGGCCTCAGATGAATGTTTTAAATGGGAATTTTTCTTGGCGGGGCGGGGGGCATTCTTTAGGACAAACCTCTGGAATTTTTGTCATATTTTCTGCTGAAGAAACGTGGTAAAGAGATCAAAGATTTTGAAGGAAATGTTATTCCAAGAAAATGTGACCCAAAGACAACATTCAGTTTATTCACGAAGGTAAAGTTGCTGCTGAATTTTTATGCCATTGCTTTTCTGTAGAGTTAGACCCACGTGATAAAGAAATTCATAAACCATTATATAAGCTCTATTGGGAAGCTTTAACTTGTCATTTCTCCAAAGAATTTTATTTTCATGAAGTATTATTAAAAAGGGTGTTTTGTAGTTTCATAATATGAGTAATACTTAAGCCACTGAAAAGCATGACCTGCACTATGTTAACTTGAGCAGCACTATTTGGTTGTGGGGGAAAGTTAGAAATTTGCATTTTGCTTTGCCATTTATACAGTTGAGCCCTGAGAGAACTTCAGGGGAATTTTTTTTGAGGGTGGTGAAACTAAGAATAGTTCTGTTTTTTCTTAGCTGAGATTCAAATTCATTGAAGAAAAAAAATGGGTTTAAAGTGAGTTCTGACTGGGCGCGGTGGCTCACGCTTGCAATCCCAGCACTTTGGGAGGCCCGGGCGGGCAGATCATTTGAGGTCGGGAGTTCAAGACCAGCCTGGCCAACATGGTGAAACCGCATCTCTACTAAAAATACAAAAATTAGCTGGGCATGGTGGCACGCCTGTAATCCTAACTACTCAGGAGACTGAGGCAGAAGAATCACTTGAATCCGGGGAGGTTCAGTGAGCCAAGGTTCACTTGAACCTGGGGAGGTTCAGTGAGCAGAGGTCACACCACTTCACTCCAGCCTGGGCAACAGAGTGACACTCTGTCATAAATAAATAAATAAATAAATAAATAATAAAGCTAATTCGTCAGGCAAAAAAGAATAATTTTGCAAGTACTATATTCAGAATCCAAGCATTCTTGGTTACATGAAATAACCAGGATTCAAGAAATGCTGAGAATTATGTTTTCATTCACATAGCTGATTTCTATGTAGGGGAAAATACTGTTTTAGAACCATTTTATGTCCACAGAGAAGTCACCTTTGATGTTTGAAGGCGTGGGATGGCAGTCCCTAACACAAACTCACCATGGGGGGCTGTTAGGAGTAAGAGACTTATGAGCACCCCTAGCAGGCAAATCATTTGTTGCCCTATTAACCTGATATTCTGGAAGTATTTGTTAATGCTTCTTTAAAGGACAGTGCAGGGCCGGGCAGGAGCACACACGGAGGACTGCTGGTGGCAGCAAACCCTCTGCCTGCTACCCCAAATGAACTCAGCAGCACATACCTGCCGTCATTAAGACCTATGCTCGGCTGGGCGCAGTGGCTCACGCCTGTATTCCCAGCCCGTTGGGAGGCCAAGGTGAGTGGATCACTTGAGGCCAGGAGTTTGAGACCAGCCTGGCCAACATGGTAAGACCCCGTCTCTACTAAAAATACTAAAATTAGCCAGGCGTGGTGAGGCACACCTGTGGTTCCAGCTACTTGGGAGGCTGAGGCAGGAGAATCGCTGATCCAGGGAGGTAGAGGTTACAGTGAGCCAAGATTACGCCATTGCACTCCAGCCTGGGCAATAGAGCCAGACCCTATCTCAAAAAAAAAAAAAAAAAAAAAAAGACCTACCTTTCTGCTGTTACCATAGCACAACCCTTACTTTAGTCCTCCCCTTCCCCCACAAAGTGCCCAAGTGGCTTATTCTGCCCAATCACCTGATAAAAGCATCTCCCTGAGAAAGGAGTCTTTATTTTATTTATTTATTTATTTATTTGAGATGGGGCCTCGCTCTGTCACCCATGCTGGGGTACAGTGGCACAATTATAGCTCACCATAGCCTTGAAATCCTGGGCTCAAGCCATCCTCCTGGTTCAGCCTCCCAATGTGCTGGGATTACAGGCCTGAGCCACCAGGCCCAGCCATCCCAAGAGGAGTCTAAATGCCTTCCAGGGATATCTAAGCCCTTTACAGGCTGGAGCTCTGCTTGCTGGCCGCCCTGCCCCTAAATCAACCTTTTCAGGAAACTTCTCAAGCAGAGGGCAATTCCTCATCTTTTTAGTTTCATTCTCTAAATATTTGCAGGCGCTAACCACATGCTAGACCTTCTGCTAAATCCTGGGACTGGGCAGCAAAATAAGACAGTTCCTGCCTTTGTGGAGGATGAGGCCAATACATAAATAGGTGGTGCAGCATGATTAGCGCCCGTTAACAGGACGCGCGGGCTGGGATGGGAATCCCGGGGTGGGAACGCCAGATGGGCATTTGGTCCAGACTCCCCTTTCTGCTTGTCAGAGGCTGCCGCTTTTGTCTCATTATGCCAGCCACGATCTCTTTGAAATTCGTGGAGATAATTCTTCCCAAAAGGGTGGACATAGTCTCCATCCATCCTTTAGCCTATGAAAACCTGAAAAACAGCACCCAGGCCTCTAATACCACTCATTTTCCCTTGGTTCACTAAAGGGAAAGATCAACTTATATAACCCCATTACGCAGGTTCCAAATTCTTCTGAAGTCCTTTCAACATCTGCTGATTCCTGACTCCCTGGAAACTTTATTGGATTCTTTCACCCACTTTTATTCCTAAGGGTGAAGCTATCGCCTCAAACCCCAGGCATACAGATCCCAGAAAAGCCCCTCTTTGTAGCAAGAAAGCAATAAGGACAAAACTAAGGTGCTTCCTCCTCTGAAGTGCCACTCTCACATTTGAAAGACCTAACTCTTGGTGAGAACCGTTTCTGGGATCATTGACACCTAAGGGAACGATGACTTGGAGCAGTTCCTCTGAGACTCTTTCTCCTCAAGTTCCTCTGCCAAATAAAATTCAAACTGAATGACGTCTTTTCAACTGGCTGTTGACCCGAACAGCTAATCATGTTCATAAAATAATGCATGAAATTTGGGCTGAAAGTTCCTTATTGCTGGAAATCAGGCCTTCTATTGCTACATTGTCTGCCTGTAATAAAACTGGAAAAATGCAAAACTCCTTAATGCCTGGAAATTTCTTTGATTTTTTAAAAAATTGAATTAGCAAAAATACGTATTCGATTCTCATTTGATTCTCTACTATTTAACACGAAAGAGCTTGGGCACAAAGCCCACAAAAGAAATGCAGAGACCTCTAGGAGGAAGAACCACAGCTAAATGTCAGTGTTGAATTAGGATAATAATAGAAAAGCTGATTTTCCTTACATTAGGGTTTATATTTAAAACTGGATATTCACTCAGAAGCCTCAGGAGACAAAGGAGGGGAAAGTGAACGCTTCTCTGAGATAATTGTTTTAAAGACCCTTCCAGCCGGGTGCAGTGGCTCACGCCTATAATCCCGACACTTTGGAAGGCCAAGGTGGGTAGATCACCTGAGGTCAGGAGTTCGAGACCAGTCTGGCCAACATGGTGAAATCTTGTCCCTACGAAAAACACAAAAATTAGCAGGCATGGTGGCAGGTGCCTGTAATCCCAGCTACTCAGGAGGCTGAGGCAGGAGAATCCCTTGAACCTGGGAGGCAGAGGTTGCAGTGAGCCAAGATTGCAGCACTGCATTCCAGCCTGGGAGACAAGAGCAAGACCCCATCTCACACACACACACACACAAAACCCTCCCAGAGAGGCTTGTGTAATAGGGATTATCTGTCAAATCCAGGACTGTGTGTGTGTGTCCATCCATGTATATCTATCTATCCATCCACCTACCTACCTACCTATCTACCTACCATCCTGCTGCCCAGTGATTATTTGCTCCTGGTTTTTGTCTGCGTATAATGTTTACACTGATACCATGCAACCATGGTGATGGCTGGCCGCCAGAATTATAATTGTTCCTGAACTCTACCTGTCATTTTCACAACTATTTCTGGCCCCTAATCCAGGCAGCTGAGTGTTTGCTGGCAGAAGCATCAGTAATGACTAGAATGTCTCTGGAAAATAGTGTCTGCCTATGCTCCATCCTAGAGAAAAATTCCTAACATGTTCTCCGAGCTTTTTTTTAATAGTCTTCCTTATATGTCCTGGAGAGCCAAGGCAAAGACCCACCAACCCAAAATGATCGTTGTCTTATAAATGTGCAAAGTTTCTGCCATGTTACTTCCTCTGAATTCATCCATAAAAACTAAGTAAAAGATAGCATCGGAATCTAAAATGAAGCTGTAAAAATTCTGGCAGTTAAACATATAATATAAAATGAGTGACCTTGCCAATTTTAGGTTCGAACAAAATTACTATGCTGAATCAATGTCCTATCCACAAAGAAAAAGTTAGATTTAAAAACGTAAGTTGCTGCTGAGCCGGAATGTGAAACAAAGCCCAATTGTAAGTGAGCAGGTTCTAAAATAGCCAAGGTGGTCTGGGGGTTCCATGATGACACCTGAATTTTAATGCATAAACTTTCATGTGAGCCTGTGTAGTCAGGTGATCTCCCAGAGACAGATGGCTCCCTTATCTGTGAGATCCACAATACAATTGTGTGCTGTTTGCATTATCTTAATCTTGGTCCAACTTGAGAGTTTTTGTTTTTGGTTTTTGAGACAGCCTCACACCATCACCCACGCTTGAGTGCAAGAGACTGGCTGGGCACCGTGGCTCACGCCTGTAATCCCATCACTTTGAGATCCCAAAGCAGGAGGAGCACTTGAATCTGAGACCAGCCTGGGCAACATAGTGAGACCTTGTCTCTAAAAAAAAAAAATGAACAAAATTAGCCAGGCATGGTGGCGTGTGCCTGTAGTCCCAGCCACTTGGGAGGCTGAGGTGGGGGGATCAATTGAGCTTGGGAGGTGGAGGCTGCAGTGAGCCAATATTGCACCACTGCACTCCAGCATGGGTGAAAAAGTGAGACCCTGTCTCAAAACGAAACAAAGTAGATCTCCTCCCTCCGCCCAAACCTTAAGTATGGATACATGCCAGGCTGGTATGAGACAGCCACAGAGCAGAGGACAAAAGAAATCATAAGAAGACTCCCTGGAGCAGACAGGAAGCACTTAGGCTCAGGCGGGACCTCCTGCCATCTAGGACTAGAGCTAGCTGGCTGCAGCTTTGCAGACCTGGGTTCTTCTGCAGAGGCTCAGGCTGCCAGAGCAATGTGGCATCTCCAAAATAAAAATTTGTTTTTGCCTCAGTAGAGTAAGGTAAAAGGAGTCTTGGTTACAAATTGAAGTTATTCTTCCAGCATCATCCCTGGACATCCAAGGGTTGCCATTGGTAGTTTCGTCGTTGATGAGGAAGGCAGCAATAACGACCGCTGACCATGATCGTCCCTCAACATAAACACAGGACCATTGCTCTGTTGCTAGGGTGGACCCTGCGGTGCTGCAGGCAGCAGGGGTGGGGGTGGAGGGCTTTTTAAAAAAATGTGCTAAGTTTTAGGGAGGCCACAGTAAGAATAGTTAACAAGGTAGTGAAGAAAGAATAAGCCTTATTTAAATATGCAGGTCTAGAAAGGGTATGCAAACTGTTTTTGACACATTTTCACTTGGTGGAAAAAAAAGGAGTGAGTTTTGTGAGCTTTTCCTTCTGGATCTTAAAAATAAAATAACCTATTTGCCCTCAACTGAGAAGGAACAGAGCAGAGCTGAGGCAGAAGCCTCTTACCTAGCCAGGCTCGGTGGCTCACGCCTGTAATTCCAGCACTTTGGGAGACCGAAGCGGGTGGATTACCTGAGGTCAGGAGTTCCAGACCAGCCTGGCCAACATGGTGAAACCCCATCTCTACTAAAAATACAGAAATTAGTGGGGCGTGGTAGCGGGCCCTGTAAGCCCGCTCCTCAGAAGGCTGAGGCAGGAGAATTGCTTGAACCTGGGAGGCGGAGGTTGCAGTGAGCCGAGATTGTGCCATTGCACTCCAGCCTGGGTGACAGAGTGAGACTCCGTCTCAAGAAAAAGAAAAAAAAGAAGTCTGTTAGCCAGGAATGTGTGTGAGTCTCTAAGCCTGGGAGGAGCCCCAGGCCAGCACGACTCCCCTGGCTCCCAGGGAAGAGGGAGCTTTGCTGGATTTAGTTTCAAGTATTATGTAGTTCAAAGGAAGCAAAGGCTATTTTTAAAAACCATAAAATTTAAGAGTGGCATCCCATTTGCAAGCACTTAACTCATTGTGTGTAGGGAACACTGTGGTTGGGGCTGAAGGCAGAGGCTTCTGAGGGCCTCCTGCAGGCACAGTACTGAGTTTTCAGAGATGCCAAGATCTGCCTCCAATAACCAAGTTTCCATTCAATCTTCAGGAAAGAAGTGTTGTAGAAGACAATTCTTGGGACACAAAGTCCAGGCTCAGCAAAAATGATTTAAATTTTGAAGCACTGATTAATCTGGTAAGCTAATTATTACATAATGTAGATTTACCACTGGTTTTGCTCCTGACAGTGAAATTTCAGCCTTTATTCTGGTTAGTTCTTTGTTTTCCTTGAAAATTTCCCTTTGGGGGATTAAAAGAAAAACCTCAAGTATAATTACAGATAATTCAGCTGGCAGACTTATTTTTCAATTAAGCCCTGGACTGAAAAGAAGTTGTGCCAGAAGGACAGCAGTGTAACCATCTTGGAGCAAAACCAATCTGTATGTTACTCCTTGACTTTCCTCTATGATACTAGGATGTCTTTTAAAGAAATGGCATGGGGACAAAGCCTCACAGTTTCTAATTAATCTACCAACTTACAGTCTGACTTCAAAAGTTGAGTCTAATGAACGCAATGTCTAGGGCTCTGTCTTTCTATGTCAAAGGTAAAGTGTGGAGGAAGCTGCAGCCTAGGCAGAGGCCAGTCCCATCCTGTGTAGCCCAGGGCATGGGCACGTTGTTTTGTTTTCTTCAACACACAAACACACTTATTATCACCTTTCATTCTCAAAATCCTATAAAAGACACATTCCTAGCCACATTTTATAGACAAAGGACTAGAGTTAGGAAAAGTTACATGGGCGAAAAAAAGTCAAATGACTTCCCTAAGGCCAGACAATTGGGCAAGAAAAATCTTAAGTCCTGCAGCCCTGAGCTCAGACCTGGGGCTTTCTCCCAGCCCCAGACACCCTCGCTGTATCCGTCTGCTGCAGACAGCGCAGGCTGTGGAGCCCCAGGACGTGGGTGCCCACTCGCCCCAAACCCATCCCTAGGAACTCCCAGGAGGAACGTGTTGCACAGAGCAGGGCATATGAGGGTGTCTCATCTGACTATTGGTAATAATACCTGACAGTGGTTTCAAGATAACAACCAAAGGTTTGAGAATGAAAACCTTAGTTCAAAATGATTATAAATGTTGGATAACTCCAATATTTAAAAATATATACATATAGAAATACACATATAATATTAAAAAATAATATGGGCTGTAAGCCAACTGACAAGTGGGATGCAGATGTATTTTTTACCTCATTAGATATGTCTAAATAGGTAGTCTATACAGACCGTGTGTTTGGAAAATAAGAAGAGTTTGGCAGCTCATGCTTGCAATCTCAGCACTTTGGGAGGCCAAGGTGGGTATATCGCTTAAGCAGAGGAGTTTGAGACCAGCCTGGGCAACATGGCAAAACCCTGTCTCTACAAAAAAAAAAATACAAAAATTAGCCTGTTGTGGTGGCTACTCTGGTGGCTGAGGCAGGAGGATCGCTTGAGCCTGGGAGGTCGAGGCTGCAGTGAGCCATGATTGCACCACTGCACTTCAGCGTGGGTGACAGAGGGAGACCCTGTCTCAAAATAAAAAACTGAAAAAAAGAAAAGTGTGTTTATAGTCTTTCAACTACAGTGAGTTCTCTCATTTTTCTCTTAAGTTATTTTTACATTATAATTCCAGTTAGTGAAATTATGGTTAACGCATCTTGGTGAAGATCATATAGCATTACACATTTTTTCATTTTAAACAAGACACTTATTTAAACAATGGGGTGCTTGACTTGAAGGAAAAACTATCTGGGAATCATTTTTATCAACTAATTGATCCTCACTTAAAGACAGATTGTCCTACATATAAGAGGTAGGTACAGAAATGTTATAAAATTTGCCCTTCATGTTACAATGATAAATGAAAAACATTAGAATTCTCCAATTGAACAAGGTATGCAAGGATTTATATATATACACACACACACACACACATATATACACACATATATACATATATACACACACATATATACATATATATATATGACTATTGGTAGTAATACCTGACAGTGGTCTCAAGATAACAACAAAAGGTTTGACAATGAAAACATATATATATATACATGTATATATTGCTGTTGTTAAAACAATGAGAGCAAAATAACAGATTGGAATATAAAGATAACTGCTGAATGTGCATCCCATGAAGGGAGAAAAGAGGTGTTTTTTCTTTTTTTGAGACGGAGTCTTGCTCTGTCGCCCAGGCTGGAGTGCGGTGGCACGATCTCGGCTCACTGCAACCTCGGCCTCCCAGGTTCCAGTGATTCTCCTGCCTCAGCCTCCTGAGTGGCTGGGATTACAGACATGTGCTAATAGGCCTGGCTAATTTTTGTATTTTTAGTAGAGACAGGGTTTTGTCATGTTGGTCAAGCTGGTCTCGAAATCCTGACCTCAGGTGATCCAGCTGCCTCGCCCTCTCAAAGTGCTGGCATTACAGGCGTGAGCCACTGTACCTGGCCAAGGAGGTCTTTTCACAGAAGCATTTTTCCCCTTCTCATCTCCATTTGTGTTGATCAACACATATCATTAGCCACTAATTTTTTAAAAAATCCTTGTGCACATTCATCAGTTAACCTTATGTACAATAAAGGAATGGTGAAGGAAATGAAAGAACAGAGAAAACTATACTGTAATAGTTAGATGTAGTGGAACCAAATTGCAGTTGAGAATGCACCCTTGGTCTGTAAGAATAGCCTCGGGCGTAAAGTAGCGGGTTCTCTTTTTACTGGACTCCTCCTTCTGCTGCTGAAACACATCAATTGCATCTTTAACCTCCATTTCCAATTTTGCAGGTGTTTCTGTTTCACTGATTGGCCATCTGACAAATTGGAATCTGATCCACCTCATTGACAAGCCTTGCTTGTCATTAGTTTACTAAGTGTACTAAGTAAGCTAAGTTTACTTAGTTTACTTAGTGGTTATTACTAAGTGGTGTATGCCTGTTAATCTTAAATTGTACCAAGGAACCATCTTGCCCACCACCTTAAAATTAATGTGAGCAGTTCTGACTCCTTCCTTGAGCTTTCTGTTTACCATGGTGAGTGCTGGAGTTACCTCAGGTCTGCACTGAATGAGAACACAAGCAGCACCAGGAGTGGCAGAAGCAGTATTGTCATATTTTATTGGGGGCAGTGTGGGGTATATTTAGGGCTGGAGGGAAAATAATAATCCTAGGCTCAAATTGAAGGACATTATGTTTTTGAAATTTAGATATTATAGATTTTCTGTTATAAAGATGCTCATTTTATAGCTTTTGAAACATGCAGATAAAAGAAAAAAAAATCTAGTACCGCAATAAAAAGTAATTTCTCTCTCCATATAAACATAGCACACACAACATCAGGCTATGGAATTTCTTTAGGCTAGTGTATGATTTTCACCTCTGCATTAAAAAATAAAACAAGAGGCTGGGCATGGTGACTCACACCTGTAATCCCAGCGCTTTAGGAGGCTGAGGTGGGTGGATCACAAGGTCAAGAGATCGAGAACATTCTGGTCAGCATGGTGAAACCCTGTCTCTACTAAAAATACAAAAATTATCTGGGCATGGTGGCATGCACCTGTAGTCCCAGCTACTTGGGAGGCTGAGGCAGGAGAATCACTTGAACCCAGGAGGCGAAGGTTGCAGTGAGTAAGATCGCACCACTGCACTCCAGCCTGGACTAAAGAATGAGACTCCATCTCAAAAGAAAAAAAGTAAAATAATAAATAAATAAAACAGGAGTTGGAAATATAACATAGCACATCTGGCAACCTGGCTAGCCAGGAGAGATGGGCTCATAGCTCCAAGTCTATCCTTAATACTGAAGTTAGATCCTTAATACTGAAAAAAGAGCATATGCTTCAGATTTTTCATATGTCAGTTGGGGAAGCAAATTAGCTAATAATAAAAAGTTGTCTTCACCTGTTCACGCTGCTGCAATAGAATACATGAGACTGGGTAATTTACAAAGAACAGAAATTCTTTATGAGGCTGGGAAATCGAAGATCAAGGTGCTGGCATCTGTCAAGGGTCTCCTCTTGGAGTACTCACATGGTGGAAGGCAAGAGAGGACCAATTCCCTCTGCCAAGCCCCTTTCTAAGGGCACCTGATCCCACACATGAAGGAGGAGTCCTCATGACCCAGTCATCTTTTCACGGCTCCACTTCTTAATACTGTCACATTGGCTACACCTGAATTTTGGAAGGGACACATTCAAACTGTAGCAGAGGGCTAGCTCATTTCAGTTTTTCTATTTGCAGGATAATCAATAAAACACTACTTGGAAAAAGAAATAGGAAAACAAACAAGGGTAGACAAGCCAAAGGCTTCCTCACTAGACTGTAACCTCCATGAAGACAGGACTCTGTCTTGTTCTCATCATTACGTGGCCAGCACCAGCATAAGATACCTAATATTGATTTGGATGGACAGATGGATAAAAGTAAATTTTCAAACTGCCTTCCTTTAGATCCAAGATTAAAATTCCCCTCTCTACTTGGCCATCAGGCTGGCCTGATATGAGGGGCTCTCTGGTGATACTGGGGACAAGTGATGGACAGCGGGGTCCTCCACAGCCCCCTGTGAAGTCCCCTTCAACCTGAACAGCACAAACCAGCAAGGGGTGGTGGGGGGGAGTTCTCCATGTAGCTGCCTGACTGCTCAGCACTTCTACTTCTCCATCACTGACTTGAGTTCTTAACACTTCTCTACAGGAGAGAATACTCCAGAAGGATTCAGCAGAAAAGCGAACTAGAGTTGTCAGGGAACTCTTACAGAGTGAGAGAAAATACGTGCAGATGCTGGAAATTGTGAGAGATGTTTATTTCGCACCACTGAAAGCAGCACTGTCATCAAACAGAGCAATTCTGAGTGCTGCCAATATCCAGATCCTTTTCTCTGATATTCTACAGATTTTAAGTCTTAACAGGTAAATCCTGAATATGTATTTTTTTAAGTATTCATTGTGCACTGAGAAGAGCCCATACTTTAATGTTTCTAAAGCTGCATGGAGGTGCAATGATGCTCTGCCCCTCTTAGGGACCCTGATTATAGCAGAGAGATCGTCATCACATTACCTACCGGGCTGCAACCAGTAGTAATTCCCAAGGACACCCCTTCCCTGGTTCCTAGCCATGGCGCAAGGAGTGGCGTTCAGGACCTAGGCTTTTTGTAACCCCGTGGTCCCCAACCTTTTTGGCACCAGGAACCAGTTTCATGGAAGACAATATTTCCACAGACCAGGGGTGGGGGGAATGGTTTCGGGATGATTCAAGCACATTACACTTATTATGCACTTTATTTCTATTATTATTATATTGTAATATATAATAAAATAATTATACAACTCACCATAATGTAAAGCAGTAGGAGCCCTGAGCTTGTTTTCCTGCAACTAGATGGTCCCGTCTTGGGGTGATGGGAGACAGTGACAGATCATCAGGCATTAGATTCTCATAAGGAGCATGCAACCTACATCCCTTGAATGTGCAGTTCACCACAGTGTTTGCACTCCCATGAGAATCTAATGCTGCTGCTGATCTGGAGCTCAGGCAGTAATGCAAGCAGTAGGGAGCGGTTGTAAATATCAATGAAGCTTCACTCACTCAACCGCCACTCACCTCCTTCTGTGCCGCCGAGTTCCTAACAGGCCATGAACCAGAACCCATCCACGGCCTGGGGGTTGGGAATCCTTGCTGTAACCAATAGACCGTCCATGCAAAATACAGCAGGAAGGAGGAGAGCCATATACTCATTCTTAATTAGCAATGTTCAGTTAAGCAATGGGAAAAAACCAGAAGGATTTAATGGGATTAAGCCACCAGGACACTTAGCTTAGAAAGCCCAAGCTGGGGGTCAATTTAATAACAACATATTTTCAAGTGCCTAACATGAGAGAGAAAAGTGATCATTTCTGCCTGTGGTAAAGGGAGGCAACCTGAGTATGTGCTTCCCCGATGGTGACTCTCTAGGTAACTTGGAACAAGTTCCTTCCTCTCAATGGGCCCCAGTTCCTACAGTGAAGAGGTTGAACTAGGCCTCTTCCAGTGTTGAAGGCCTCTGATAGATGAATGAGGGATTTTCTTAGAGCCCTGGGGAAACGGGCCAAGCAGGGACTATGGCACTCCCTGTTGAAGACAGTGGAGCACTCCCCTCTAAACTTTCACCCACCTGCCTATCTGGAGGCAAGAGACTGGGACATCAGGCGGCAGCTGTATCATGGCCAGTGTGTGGTTCTGACTCAAGGAACTGAGGTGAAGAGGTGGGATTCTACCCCAGCCAACCTACTCCTTCACGTCCCAGTTCCCTTTCCTGTCAAATCTGCACTTCTCTGTGTTAAAAAGAAATGACTTGACCAAAACCCTACTGTAAAGGACTAGGCTGAAAATGCCCGTGCTGATGACAATGGATATTTGGGTTTGTAAGTTATCTCAAGTGAATATTTCATGCGTATGCTCTTCTCATACCACAGGCAGTTTCTAGATAACCTGAGAGACAGACTACAGGAATGGGGCCCAGCTCACTGTGTGGGAGAAATAGTCACGAAGTTTGGAAGCCAGTTGAACACATATACCAATTTCTTCAACAATTACCCTGTCATTCTGAAAACTATTGAGAAGGTAAATGAATTTCAATCCCATCATTCTATGAGACCTGAGCTAGAAAGGAAGTTATGTGTGGAACCCGAAAGACCAGCATTGATAAGAAAGGCTTCTCTGCTCTTAGCTCCCAGCTCTCTTCCCATACTGTGACCTCTGAGGACAGCAACACTGACTTAGGGGCTAGCACAATATTTGACACCTAGCATTGCCAGGAACTGGTTCTTGAACTGAACTCATCCTCATACAAACTACCAGGGTTTCACTTGCCCCAGATACCCTCAGCTTACAGGAAAATGCTCCACAATTGAGCTTGGAATCCACTCTGCTACTACAATCCTGTGTGTCCTTGACAAGTTCACTCTTTCATGTAGAAAATTAATCATCCACAACTTTTTTGGAAGAACAGTCAATTTCTGAAATGTCACTAGGAAGTAAGGAATGCCTTGATCTTACATTTCCTAGAGAGTAAATTATTAACAGTTTTCCCTGTTGCAATTTCTGTCATTATTTACTCTGAGCAGGAATATCCAATTCCTTTCTATACCACCTGCTGCTCTTGTGGGGATACCTTCTGCTGGGAATAAAATCCCTCTTTCTTCCCTCCTCATTTGGTAACGAAAGCCTAGAAAAGGCTACCTTGTCACACGGCAGCACACTTCTGCCAGAGTCCACTGTCACCACTCATCTTCACTGAGGCCTGCAGGAAAGTCCTGTGAGCTGGGAAGCCTCTGGAGGGCTCCTGCCCTTGACAGCTTCCTTTGTGGTATTCCTTCCCCCCACCCAGGGAGTCTAGTCACTGCTGGATAACTTGATGATTCAACAGTTACATAAATAAGGTAGTTTCATAGGACTGACTTTGGCGACAAGAATTGGAGCAAAGCATCACATGGTATCAGGAACACACTGGTGCCTAAATTTCTTTAGCTATAGATAATGATGCCTATTTCACTAGCGCAGTGTGTGCATACAAGTAAGTACTTAGCTTAAATGTTAGCTATTTAGTTGTGGGGTTTGAGACAGGGTTTCCCTCTCTCACCTAGGCTGGAGTGCAGTGCCATGATCACAGCTCACTGCAGCCTCGACGTCCCCAGGCTCAGGTGATCCTCCCGCCTCAGCCTCCCAAGTATCTAGGACTACAGGCATGTGGCACCACACCTGGCTAATTTTTTTTGGATTTTTTGGTAGAGACCGGGTTTCACCATGTTGCCCAGGCTGGTCTTAAACTCCTGGGCTCAAGCAATCCGCCCAACTCTGCCTCCCAAAGTGCTGGGATTACAGGTGTGAGCCACCATGCCAGCCAATGTTAGCTATTAATCTGATTGAAATCCATAAATATTTCACTTGGTCTTAGCTGAAAGTCTGAGAATGAAATCATGAATATTTGATTTCTAGAAGTTAGCACTGCCAACATCTTTCAGGCATGGAAAAGGAGGTAACCTCACAGGTGCTTTAATAGTGATAAATGAATACATTTTAAAATAGATAAGGTAGGTGGGTGGCTCACACCTGTAATCCCAGCACTTTGAGAGGCTTAAGCAGGCAGATCACCTGAGGTCAGGAGTTCGAGACCAGCCTGGCCAACATGGTGAAACCCCGTCTCTACTAGAAATACAAAAATTAGCCAGGCATGGTGGCGGGTGCCTGTAATCCCAGCTACTCGGGAGGCTGAGGCAGGAGAATCGCTTGAACCCGGGAGGCAGAGGTTGCAGTGAGCTGAGATTATGTCACTCTACTCCAGCCTGGGTGACAGAGCGAGACTCTGTCCCAAAAAAAAAAGACCCAAAAAACAAAAAAACAGATATGAAGTACAGTGGAACACCTGTATAATAAATATTACTATGGAAAACATAATTAATAGAAGCATTAAAGGTGAATACCATTAATAGTCAAGATCTTACTACATTGAAATAACATTTACTGTGTGACAGCCACTTTATGGATAGGATTGTTTTTTTTCCACACCACAAGCATTAGAGATGATATCTATGTTACAGATGAGAAAACTGAGGCTCAGAAAAGTTAAGTAATTTGATAAGGTTATATATTCGAGTTATTCTCATTCAAATCCAGGCCCACCTGGTTGCAAAGTACATTCTTATTTGTCTATACTGATTAAGTTCAATGAATAGGGTCAGGTCTATGTATAATTAAAACACATTTTTTTTTTTTTTTTTTTTTTGAGACGGAGTCTTGCTCTGTCACCCAGTCTGGAGTGCAGTGGCGCGATCTCGGCTCACTGCAAGCTCTGCCTCTCAGGTTCACGCCATTCTCCTGCCTCAGCCTCCCGAGTTGCGGGGACTACAGGTGCCCGCCACCACGCCCGACTAATTTCTTGTATTTTTAGTAGAGACAGGGTTTCACCGCGTTAGCCAGGTTGGTTTCGATCTCCTGACCTCGTGATCCGCCTGCCTCAGCCTCCCAAAGTGCTGGGATTACAGGCTTTACAGCCACAGTGGCCGGCTGACACACATTCTTCACATACTAGGAAGACACCAATGGCACTGCTAATAGTCTAATGGGTTAGACATCGATGTTGCCCTTTTGCTTCAGGCATTCCATAGATCACGCTTGCTCAGTGGAATAGTGGACTTTATAACTATCTCATAAAGTTTTGACAAAATAATCCTCACCTTTTAGTGCAGAGAAATGATACCAGCATTCCGAACTTTCCTGAAGAGGCATGATAAGACCATTGTTACCAAAATGCTGAGGTATGTTCTGAGGGAGAGCACACAGGGACCCCCCAGAGAGGGCATTCCTGGGCCTTCAGAGACCAGAGTTCCTTTCTCTATGCCTCATACAGCCTGCCGGAGCTGCTGTTGTACCCATCCCGAAGATTTGAAGAATATCTTAATCTCCTCTACGCTGTCAGGCTTCATACCCCTGCAGAGCATGTTGACCGTGGGGACTTGACCACTGCAATTGACCAAATCAAAAAATATAAAAGTTATATAGATCAGGTTGGTTGCTGATAAGAATCTGCATCCTTTAAACATGTTACAATGCCTTTGTGATACTCCCACTCAAAGAGTCTGAGACACCTTATCTTCTTGTGGGGTTCTTTGCTTTAAAGTCTTTCATCCTTTTAATGCTAAATCAACAGTGTGTTCAGTGATTTCCAACACTAAGGGCATCTATTCTAAGCCAAGCAACATGAGACAATGTTTTCAGATATTTGTACAAATACAATAAAATTTTTATGAAAGTTTGAAGAATGAAGTATTTAGACTGATTTTTTACACAACTAAAAGGCAAAAAAATAAAAAATAATAAAAAGTAAAATCCTTTGTTTCTGAAAGTACTTTTTTGTTTGTTTGTTTGAGACGGAGTCTCCCTCTGTCGCCCAGGCTGGAGGGCAGTGGCGGGATCTCAGCTCACTGCAAGCTCTGCCTCGCAGGTTCAGACCTTCTCCTGCCTCAGCCTCCGCAGTAGCTGGGACTACCGGCGCCTGCCACCACGCCTGGCTAATTTTTTGTATTTTTAGTAGAGACGGGGTTTCACCGTGTTAGCCAGGATGGTTTCAGTCTCCTGGCCTTGTGACCCGCCCGCCTTGGCCTCTCAAAGTGCTGGGATTACAGGCGTGAGCCACGGCTCTCGGCCTCTGAAAGTACTTTCAATGCATTAATTAGCTTTCCTGCCTCAGTGAGTACGATGGTCATAATTATTATCTGAAGAAGTAATTAAGCACCTTGGAGACAGTACTATCATTCTGAAAATATTATTGTATTGTGCATACTGTAAATACGCATCTGGGCTGAATGTAAACTGCTAACATATTTTTCCATGAAGATACTTTTTTGCATCCAATTTTGTCACTTGCCTTTGTTTTAAAACATTGGGTACAGAGAATTGATTTTTTTTTTTTTTTTTTGGAGACAGAGTCTGGCTCTGTCACCAAGGCTCGAGTGTAGTGGTGTGATCTCGGCTCACTGCAGCCTCTGCCTCCCTGGTTCAAGCAATCCTCCCACCTCAGCCTCTTGAGTAGCTGGGACCACAGGCAGGCGCCACCATGCTTGGCTTTTTTTCTTTTTTTTGGTAGAGATGGGGTTTCACCGTGTTGTCCAGGCTGGTCTTGAACTCCTGAGCTCAAGCCATCTGCCCATCTCAGCCTCCCAAAGTGCTGGTATTACAGATGTGAGCCACTGCACCCAGCCCAGAAATTGGAAACTTTCTATTATAACATATGAAAATACCAAGCCCTGTATCAAGTGCCATAAAATATTTTAATCTATTTCTTTTATGAATAAAAATGTCACAATTTTAGTTTGCCTAAAAAGTACTTTTTTCCCCCTAGATGAAGCAAAACATCAATATGAAGGATCATCTGTCAGATATACAGAGAATCATCTGGGGATGCCCTGTATGTATTCTTAGGAACTTGCTATATCTCATGCTCATGAATACAACCTCCAATCATTGGCAAAAGGAGACCTACAGACCCCAAGGCAGCTACTATTTGTGGAATGCCTGCTACGTGCCAGGCACTGCCACGCCCTCCCATTTCACATCTTTGTTATCTGCAAGGTTGCTCTATAAGAAGGGGCACAAGTGAGCTTGCCCCTATCCCATAACTTTTCGATAGTCTTTGTTCCTTTATTGGTATTACTGTGATCACGATGCCCTTTGAGGAAAGGGGCCATGTGTTCTACTTGTTTTCTTTTTTTTCGAGACGGAGTCTCGCACTGTCGCCCAGGCTGGAGTGCAGTGGTTCAATCTCAGCTCACTGCAAGCTCCACCTCCCAGGTTCACACCATTCTCCTTCCTCAACCTCCCGAGTAGCTGGGACTACAGAAGCCCACCACCAAGCCTGGCTAATTTTTTGTATTTTTAGTAGAGACAGGATTTCACCATGTTGGCCAGGCTGGTCTCCAACATCTGACCTCAGGTGATCCACCCGCCTCGGCCTTCCAAAGTGCTGGGATTACAGGCGTGAGCCACTGCGCCCAGCCCACTTCTCTTTCTGAATAGTTCTCTTCTTATCCCCCAACCCCCAACTTTGTTTTTGATATTAGGAAAGCACTTACAAATAAAACTATAATTTCAGTAGTCTTAAAACTTTGACAAAAATTACTTTTTTTTCCCTTAAATATAGTTTTCTTTGTCAATACTGTGGTCTTTCTAAGAAAATCTGTTTCATAAACAGTGAAAACATTCACTTTTTCATGCTTGAACTGTGTTTTACTTAACATTTGCATATTCTGGGATATAAAATGGTTTGCAGTAGTAAGTTTTTTTATTTAAAAAAATTTATATGTGCTTCTATTTTGTTTTTGATTTACAGACTCTATCAGAAGTAAACAGATATCTAATTAGGGTACAAGATGTAGCCCAACTTCATTGCTGTGATGAAGAAATAAGTTTCTCTTTAAGGTAAACAATAGTTAACTATCCTAAGGCTGTGGACACCTTCCAAGCAGGTGACTGTCTTACTCATCCTGTAGCTCCAGCATTCAGTACAATGTCTGACACAGTAGGTTTGAAATGAATCTGCGCATTAGACTGAAAAGTTACAGACAACTCCCTCTGAGATAGTGTAGACTATTTTATCACCATGTTCGCATTCCAGCCAGCTACTGGGTAGAATGGGAGAAGAAAATTGTCCCTGCCAGGACCACAAACTCCACATAAGCAGGCATTCTAAAGGTTGGTCACTTTCTTTCTTTCTTTCTTTTTTTTTGAGATGGAGTCTCACTCACTGCCGCCCAGGCTGGAGTGCAGTGGTGCAATCTCCACTCACTGCAAACTCCGCCTCCAAGCTATTCTCCCGCGTCAGCCTCCCTGAGATTACAGGCACCCGCTGCCACGCCCAGCTAATTTTTGTATTTTTAGTAGAGACAGGGTTTCACCATGTTGGCCAGGTTGGTCTCAAACTCCTGATCTCCAGTGGTCCACCTGCCTCGGCCTCCCAAAGTGCTGGGATTATAGGCATGAGCCACTGCACCCGGCCACTTTTCTACTTAGCTAAGCTCCAAGTGTTGCAGGATTTTCACACCAATGATCTGCTCAAATGTAAGAAAGAGAGGACCAATTTATTATCCTCAGAGAGTTATTGAGGTCAGTTTTTAACAAGACCTTACGCTATTTAGTTTGCACGATGCTCAGAGTAACCTAAGAAAAAAAGATGGAAGGATGCTACTTTTTATAAATTAGTATCCCCTTTACTCCTTTAGAACAAGGATGGGCAAAGTTTTCTGTAAAGGTTCACATAGTAAATATTTCACATAGTAAAGATTTTGCTGGCCAAATGATATCTGTGGCAACTACCCAACTTTGCTATTGTAGAACAAAATCAGCTCTATCAATGATGCAACACATAACAAGTGATACACTATTGATAAACCATACAAGATATAAATGAACAAACATGACTATGTTCCAATTAAACTTCATTTACAAAAACAGGTGTGGGCCATAGTGTGGTGATCTCTGCTTTAGAAAACTGTTCATCAAACTATGAATAAAATAATAGAAATAAAATAAATAACAAAATAATTAATAGAATAAAATAAAATTCTATTCTCATTCTTTCTTTCTGTATGTAAGTTTGATTTTCAGTATTAATGACAAAGAGTGACTCAGCAAACAGCAACCAAAGGGACAGGAATTAACTCCTTTAATTTGTTCAACTCCAATAAGCGTAATAAAAATCGATTTGTTATTTCAATGAATATTTCAACAAATGTTCCTCAACGGCACAGGGTAGCAGGGTAGGTGGAGGAAATCGGTCCCCTCACCTCCATCCTTACCTAGACTAGATCTTAAATGAAAATCAAATCACACAATATGTCACTTTTCTCATTGTCATGACATTTTTGTTTTCTTTGATCTGTTTTTTTGTTTGTTTGTTTTGTTTTGTTTTTTGGCTTGCAGCAATAGAAAAGAGCTACAATGATGGAAAGAAACTACCTACCAAACCAGCAATTCTAAACACACTGCTTTGGTAGAAGACATTCTGTGATGATTCCAGTTTTTGATTATTAGATTATTCTACATTCATGTATTCCTTCTCAAACACTCTTCCTTTCTTTACATAAGTTTGATTTTCTACATCATTTTTCTTCTCTCTGCAGAACTTCTTTTAACATTTCTTAATGTTCTACTAAGGTCAATGAATTCTCTCAGTTTGTGTGTGTGTAAAAAATTTATTGTTTGAAGGAAATTTTGCTGGATACAGAATTTTAGGTTGGTGGCTTTTTTCTTTTAATACTTTGCTTATTTCATTCCACACTCTTCTTACTTACATGGTTTCTGAAGAGAAGTTCAGTGTAATTTTTATCCTTGTTCCTCTATAGGTAATATAAACCAACAATACAATTCTAAACCTCCCAGCCGACTGAATGGACTCCTCCTGTCAGCCAAGGGGATTCCAAAGTAAACCTGAAAAACTAGTTCAGGCCAGGATAGGAAGAGGGGATTGGATATGCCTCATTATACTCTCCTCCTTTAAGTATTCAGGCACAACTGACCCAAATTAACATTGAAACAGAGATCTTAAGACTGATAAAATGAACTCCTTGTAGAAATAAGATACCAAATTCCAACTCAGCTCTAGTATTGTATCACATGGCAGATAGCAGACCCTGAAATAAATCAGAGTATTTTACCTCAAAATATATTTCTTTGACATATTTTGAAATGGCCCTGCAAAGTAATCTCTTTTGGGAAAATCTCCTCTTTCCAGGTCTTTTCCTGATCCAGGAGAGATTCAGCTAAGAGTATGGTATCTTTTAAGGTCTGATAAGAGACATTTACCATCTATTCTCCCTGAAGCCTGCTACCTGGAGGCTTCATCTACATAATAAGAACACTGGTCTCCACAATCTCTTATCTAAAGCCAGACACTCCTTTCTACTGATTCCAGATCTTCAGATAATAACTCTTTCAACCAATTGCCAATCAAAAAATCTTTTTAATCCCTCCATGACCTGGAAGCCCTTAATTCAAGTTGTCCCATCTTTCTGGATCAAACAAATGTAAAACTTACATGCATTGATTGATGTTTGCCTGTAACTTCTGTCCCCCTAAAATGTATACAATCAAGCTTTAACCCAACTGCCTTGGGTACATTTTCTCAGGACTTCTTGAGACTGTGACCCAGGCCCTGGTCACTCATATTTGGCTCAGAATAAATCTCTTTATTTTACAGAGTTTGACTCTTTGGTGACAGTAAGGTGGGTTTTTGTTTTTGTATTCTCTGAAATGACAAAGATTTTCTCTTTTATTTTCTACATCTGAATGTATTATGCCTAGATGTAGTTTTTTTTTTTTTTTTTTTGGGTATTTATCCTGTTTTATGTTCTCTGAGCTTCCTGGACCTATGGTTTGCTGTCAATTATTTTGTAAAATCTCTAGTCATTATTACTCCAGATATTTCTTCCATCTCTCTTTCTTCATCTGGTATTCCCATTATGCATATGATTTGCCTTTTGTAACTGTCCCTATGACTTGGATATTCTGTTCTTTCCCCTGGTGGTCCCTACCTGCTACCCCTACTTTGTCCTTGGTCTTTTTTCTCTCTGCTTTTCAGCTTGGTAAGCTTCTATTGACATATCTTCAAGCTCACTGATTCTTTCCTCAGCTGTGTCCAGTGTATTAATGACCACACCAAACGCATTCATTTTTGTTATATTATTTCTGGTATTACCTTTTCTTTCTTAGAGTTTTGGTCTCTCTTCTTACATTACCTGTCTGTTCTTGCATGTTGTCTACTTTTTTCCATTAAAGTCCTTCACATATCAATCATATTTAACTTTCTGCTCTGATAATTCCAGAATCTCTACTATATCTGAGTCTGGTTTTGATGCTTGCTCTGTCTCTTCAGTCTGTGTATTTTGCCTCTTAGTATCGTGTGTGTGTGTATATATATATATATATATATTTTTTTTTTTGAAACAGAGTGTCACTCTGTCACCTAGGCTGGAGTGTAGTAGTGCAATCTAGGCTCACTGCAGCCTCTGCCTCCTGGGTTCCAGCGATTCTACTGCCTCAGGCTTCTGGGTAGCTGGGATTACAGGCATGTGCCACCACGCCCAGCTAATTTTTGTATTTTTAGTAGAGACGGGGTTTCACCACATTGGCTAGGCTGGTCTTGAACTCCTGACCTTAGATAATCTGCCCACCTTGGCCTCCCAAAGTGCTAGGATTAAAGTATTGAGCCACCGTGCCCAGCCAGAACCCCTTATAATTTTTTGCTGAATACCAGACACGATGTGTCAGGTAAAAGGAACTAAACAGGCCTTCAGTGTGAAGTTTTATGTTTTCTGGCTGGGAGTTAGGTCATATTTGCTGTTTGTTGTAGCTTGGCATCAGAGGCTACAGTTTTCTCCCATGTCCTTGTTTTTTTCTCCCTATTATCTTTGGGTTTCCCTAGAGATCCCTTCTTAAATAGGGTCTGAGCCTTGCAGTTATTTTAGCTGTAATCCCATTATCATACCAGAGTCCTACTGCTGTGGTAGTTAAGACGTCAGAGGAGGAACAATATTCTACAGTTCTGTGATCAATTTTTAGTCTTTTAATGAGTCTTTTACTTCTGGATTGTGACCTTCACAAGTGCTTCTCAGTTTTTGTTTTTCGTGTTTTTTTTCACCTCTAACATGAGACAGTAAGGTTAGAAGTGGCTGGAATTGGGTATTTCCCTTCTCCCAGGTTGATTAGCCTCTGGTAAAATCTCAGTTGGTTAGGTTCTAGTAGAAGTTTCCCTTGAGGTCAGGCCTTTGTTAAGAACAAAATACTGACATTTAAGAAAGATGTTTCCATCCTGAGCAAGATGGCCGAATAGGAACAGCTCCAGTCTCCAACTCCCGGCATGAGCAACACAGAAGACAGGTGATTTCTGCATTTTCAACTGAGGTACTGGGTTTATGTCACTAGGGAGTGCCTGACAATCAATGCTGGTCAGCTGCTGCAGCCCTACCAGCCAGAGCTGAAGCAGGGCGAGGCATCGCCTCACCTGGGAAGCGCAAGGGGGAAGGGAATCCCTTTTCCTAGCCAGGGGAACTGAGACACACAACACCTGGAAAATCGGGTAACTCCCACCCCAATACTGCGCTCTACCAAGGATCTTAGCAAACGGGCACACCAGGAGACTATATTCCACACCTGGCCAGGAGGGTCCCATGCCCACGGATCCTCCCTCGTTGCTAGCACAGCAGTCTGCGATCTCCAGCAAGGCAGCAGCCAGGGTGGGAGAGGGGCGCCCGCCATTGCTGAGGCTTAAGTAGATAAACAAAGCGGCTGGGAAGCTAGAACTGGGTGGAGCTCACAGCAGCTCAAGGAGTCCTGCCTGTCTCTGTAGACTCCACCTCTGGGGACAGGGCAGCAACAACAACAACAACAAAAAGCAGCTGAAACCTCTGCAGATGCAAACGACT